GAACTGAATTACAATTACAATCTCAAGATACCCCCAGGTCCACAAATAACCATGATATAATTAGAAATAATTTTGCTGCGAGGACGGGTTCAACGAGTGGAATTTCCTCAACTCAACTAACTATAACAGGTATGAAATGCACAGAATATATTTGAGTACAAATTCACCCAATTTTAGAAAAACTGGTGGCTTTGGTTTCAACCATTAAAGAACAAAATGATCAAATTTTAGCGTGGATAGCTAAACAGAGCATCAATGTTACTGTGGCATTTGGTATGCCAGATATACCATACAAATTGCCTATCCAAACGGTTGAAGAATTAGACGAACTAAATATTTATCTCACCAATAACGTGGAAACATTTGACGCTTTGGTATGATATTTAATTATAATCTAGGGACAATTATTTGTGAATTAATTTTCAGAGATCGTATTTGGCTACTCTGGGTGGTAATACTGTTTCATCAAAAGCTAACAGAATTCTTAAACATATTGGGGAGAGTCGGATAACCGTGCGCAGCGGCAAATGGTGCGCACCATGATATTATTTGAATCGTCCTTTGTTTTCACGAAGTGAAACATATAGCGACATCTTCTAGGTATTACATGAACTACAGGTAAAATTCGCGCTATTTTTGAGGTAAACACGCCTACTATATTGTCTGAAGGTTAAGTCAACTGATTTACTGTAATTTTCGTGCTTGTGTAATTAAGTGTTACCTTTGTAAATTAGGACGTTTTTGCTTCGGTAAGTATAGCAAGCTATGCAATACGGATCTGATTATTATTGTAGCATGCTATTTATGATAAATCATTTGTAGTTTTGTTTTGGTGAATTTTTATAAATATTTTGTAGATGTCGGCTAATGGTGCGCGATGCGCACAATTATCCGACTTTAAAATGTTTCATGTTCTATTGGTATTTATCTTCACACAGATGCCAAAATATACCCGAAAATCCAATAAAGCCTCCTGGGACGCTAGTCAAATGAGAAAAGCCTTATTGTTTATTACAAATGGTGGGACAATTAGAGAAGCAGGTAGAAAATTTGGAATTCCAGATGGGCGCATGAGCTTTGTAGTGGTGTCGATTCCGCAGAAGGTTACGTTTGTGACTTTTGCGACCGTTAGGTGACATTTCAAAGGTCATAGAATGTTTCAGTAAAATAAAATGTACCTCGTATTGATTATACACCTTCCTCTTAATGTTTTTCTACTTGCGCACAATTACCCCACCTGGTGCGCACAATTAACCGCATAGGGTGGATAATCATGCGCAGTGCCACTTTTCCTCTTATTTTTTCCCTATCATCAACATGAATATTTAAATCATTTTTGATTGATTTGGGTAATAACCAACATAACAGAGAACAATACTACCAAATTTAAGAGTTGAATTTACAATAGTTTGGAAAATACGAATTTTATCGCTTAGATGCGCACAATTCACCGACTCTCCCCTGGTTCTATCCGATAGTGTTAGCTCTAAATTTAATTACTATGGCCAAAGATCAATTAAAAGAGCATTCTCCGATTTAATATTGAAGGATTTAGTCATCACAAGTTCGTTTACCATTTATATTAATCCATGCTATTTTGTTTAAGGTGCTGTAAAGAAGGGGTTTCCTAACGCATCCGATAAAGAGGTTGAAGATACCATCAAAGTGTGGTTGAAACACTCACAAGAAAGATTGAAAAAGAAAGATGCACAAAAGGATAAGGCGTAAATTAAAACCTATTGTTGGTAAGCGGCAATTTCTTCGTAGGGTGGCACAGTCAGTTCAACAAACACTTAACAATACTTCATCAAGTACACCACTACCGTCAACATCTTCTGTACCTGAAAATCCCAACTCTATTCTTAGAGAAATTAACTCGCCTATATTACATCCATTTTTACATGAGGAATTTGTTGCAAACAATAATGAAAATCCTAACGCCAACGACTCTCAGACCAATTATCCATTTTTACTTCCTTCACAGGATATTTTAGAGCCATCTTTACTGGTCAGCTTAATGCATTGGTGTGTTACTTTTAATATCCCACATATAGCTATTACCAGTTTATTACATATATTACATCGCTTTCATCCAGAACTTCCGCTAAGTTCTAAAACCTTATTGGGAACGCCTAGACAAGTTAATACTACCAAAGTTGGAGATGGTCAGTTTTATTATTTTGGGTTAAAAACTGGTCTTTCATTTGTACTTTCAACAATTTCTGAAATTAAAGATAAAATAGAAATTAGTTTTAATATTGATGGTATACCGCTATTTAAAAGTTCAAATCAACAATTCTGGCCAATATTAGCACTTGTAAAAAATTTTAAGAGTAAACCGTTCGTTGTGGGCATATTTTCGGGTACATCAAAACCAAAACCCTTGGAATTGTTTTTAAATGATTTTATTGAAGAATTAAATTTAATAATACATAATGGATTTGAATATAATTCCAAAGTTTATAACATTAGTGTGCATAGCTTTCTTTGTGATGCTCCAGCCAGAGCTTTTATTAAACATATAAAATCACACAGCGGATATTCAAGCTGTGAAAAATGTACAAATCCTGGCAAATATAAAGACGGTAGAATAATTTTTGAAACTGACTCTTTTTCAAAGCGAACAGATTCTTCATTTCTTCTTCAGCAGGACGAAGACCATCATACCGGAATTTCTCCGTTATTAAAGTTAGGTATTGGATTAGTCTCTGTGTTCCCAATAGATTACATGCATGCCTGTTGTTTAGGTGTTATGAGGAAACTACTTTGTTTTTGGTTAAATGGTGCGTTAACAACAAGGTTGCCCAATCAAAAGGTGAATGCTATTTCTAATATGTTAATTTCATGGAAGCAACATATTCCTTCTGATTTTAATAGGAAGCCCCGGTCACTTAGTGAAGTTCAAAGGTGGAAAGCAACTGAATTTCGCACATTCTTATTATATTTAGGAGCAGTTGTTTTAAATAGTAACACACATAAAGCTGTTTATGAACATTTCCTTCTATTTCATGTCGCAATATTAATTCTATCTTCAAAACATTTGATATCAAAATTTGGATGTTCATATGCTAATGAATTGCTAAATACATTTGTGAAACATTGTGAGAAATTATATGGATCCCAGTTTTTAATTTATAATATTCATATTTTATTACATCTATCTGATGATGTAATTAAATATGGGCCTTTGGATCAATTTTCTTGTTTTCCTTTTGAAAATTTTCTGGGGCAAATTAAACGTTTGATTAGATCACCTACCAACACACTACAGCAGGCCTGTTGTAGAATACAGGAAATACAAAATATTCGTTTTAATGTAAATCAGATGCATCCACCCGCAAATATGCTTTTTCCTCATGATTCAGGACCAGTACCTCCACAAATTGCAGCTGATAATTGCAAACAATTTCTCAAGTGTTTCCATAAGGGTTTTGAAATTTGTGTTCATTCTTATTCAAAAGCAAACTCCTATTGTATAACAAATAAAGGAAAAGTTTTGCAAATTCAAAATATCATTTTAATGCAAGATAATATATTAATTGTTGGCAAATTTTTTCAGACATATAATTCTATATACACCTATCCTTTAAACTCGAAAGATCTAAATATCTATCTTTTATCCGATTTATCACATAATATTGAAATAAGCTCTCTTGATGAAGTTATGGGAAAGTGTTTAGTACTGCCTGCAAAAAATAATAATTGGGCTTCATTCCCATTAATCCACACCTTCGATGAAATTAAAGCATAGAATGTATTTTAAAACGAATTTTTCTAATTCTAATTTGTTAAATAGAAAATAGATTTGTGCATTACTTTATTATCCATTTAGTTTATTTCTAGAGTGTATTTTTTTATTTTTAATATACGTTTTTCCATTATAAATTTATTTCATTACAATTCAAAATCGTCACCAAGAACGTCCATACAACGTTTTGAAGACGTCTAATAGGACGTCACTAATGACGTTCTATAGTACGTCAATGAATAACGTCATTTTACCTGTGTCAATAGTACGTCTATTTAGGGTGATATAAACGTCTTTTTGACCTTCCAAATGACGTACGTGGTGATTACATGGTAGGTAAAATTGACGCCATTTTGACGACAGTGTGCTACCTGGGGAAGCCTCATTTTAGATGGGCGTCGAGAAAGATCCTATTGCAGGGACACTGTGATTGGATAACAACAATTATTTAGGTTGAATTAAAAGGGTATACGTTATATAGGTATAATATATATACTTATATACCTAAGTACACCTAAACACCTAGTTTTACACCTAAGCGAATTATATATACCTTATAAGATCGTACATAAGTACCTATGCGTCTTGAAAAAGACGAGTTTGTATAAACCTGAAGACAATAAACCGAAAAAGAAACGAAAAAAGCGTACATCTGTCAAAACGGAAATAATTAATACCTAATTATGGCGCGGAAGGTACCGGGTCGCTTTGGGGGCTTTCTATTTGCCACCTTGAATTATTTCAAAATTAGTTTTGCATATTTTCCGGGGCTCTTTTTAAGCATGGTGGCCCTAATATTCTTTGATTAAACCATATTAACCGATTTTTTTCACCTTATTCCAACTATTTTCATCGCGTGTATACCGAGAGGGGCCCGAGGATGGGCCCTAAGGAGGTACTAAATTAAAAGTTACCCCTATTCTTGTGGGAGTAAAGTAATCTTAATCCTCGAAGTGGAAAAAAATGTATAAGTATATTACTTATATTGTATGCAAAGTAAGGATATAAGTATATATTTACTTGCTAAATAGAATAGGGATTATCCCCTGATGTATCGCGCAAACAAATTGTTCATGTTGCCTCCCTTGATGGCACAGTAAATTTTTCCCTTTTCCAAATTCATTTCATAAAACAATGATTCCGTTGTGCACTGCACCATTTTAGGTAGGTACAACAGAATGGCGAAACCTTCCGACAGAATACCTACTTACGTACGCAGAAAGTAGTAGTTAGATAAATATATCGCACTTACCTGAAAATCCTATTACGTAGTCTATCTAAAAATCTCAAGGAACCGTGTAGTTGTAAATCCTTTAGTACAGAATGGGTGGTCAGCAAACCGCTTATCAACATAAAGCAGTCCGTATATACAATTGCAGTTCGTCCTATGACAGTCCACTGTTGACTAAAAACCTAAAATATATTAACATTACAATGTACTGTGCAATAAAATATGTGTCTTAGGTTCACTCAGGTTAATTAGGTATATGGGTTAATGGAAAAACTTTCTAATTTCTATAATAATATAATATTCATATATTTCTCCCAATATCATTCAAGAGGGTATAGGAATGGGATCGTGATTTTACCTACCGTACAGTAGTGTAAAAAGAAAACTTTGAAAAGGAAATATGACACCACAAAAATATACTGCATCTGTTCATACTATCTATTACTTATAATTTTCCGTTTTTCAAAACAGTAGAAATCGACAAAATAAAAAGGTTCATTTTACATTAAATCAGATATGCCTTGGAATTAACTAAAAAAACAGCGATAACTTTACATTATTTGCCTTTGAAATTTAAATTTAAATTGAAATTTAACTGAAGAGAAAGTTTTATGCCCACTAAGTAACCTCTTTATTTAGTGTGAAGTAGTACCCAAATGGGCCGATTCCAAACAGTACCAACTACCATAGTAGACAGAAGTTTGAAAGAACAGGCATAGTGTTAAATAACTGCAAGTGCAATAACGTTCAAAATGTCCGTCAAAATCATCATGAAAACGAAAATACCTACATTCAACATTTTGGCAGCAGTAGCGAAAAACCCGAATTAAAGTTTAAGAACAATATTCTTCCTCAAATCTATTTCTTTTTCTTCGATTATGTAGGCTCTGGTTCCGGAAAATGATAAACAAATAGTATCTCATGGAGATGCAGCATTGCATTCTTCTAAAAACATTACCCAATAGACGCTTTTTCTTGCGTCGGCGTTGGTTAGTTGAAACAGAATTAAATATGAAAATCGTTCGACGTGCGACGTCAAACAAGGATAACTTAATAGTAGGTAGATGCGATGCGCTTGTAGTTTGTTCAAAGGTTCCAAAGCATCACTGATTTATAGAAATGTAGTTTTTTGGTTTTTCGATGTTGGCGCCAGAGATGCCCCAGCCGCTATCTTGATCTCGATCCGATCAGTGTGTCAACAAGACGTGTGCAGCCCTTTATAAATATCGCTGGTTTTGGTGTTCTTTCTGAAAGACACCATGCCTTTTGTGAAGAAGGAAATGATTGTCCTAGCTCAGTTATATACTAGACCTAGTGGAAAAGTCATCAGATTAAAACGCGTACTGCATAGCGCGCCGCCGCGCCAGAACACACGCCGCTTCGGCGGTAAATATCTTCCTTATTACATCATGAACATGTACTTTTCCGTGCATATTTAGATTCGTCACAAAATTTCGCGTCTAATGAGACCCGTCTCATTTAAGTAAGTCTTGATACAAAAACCTTCGCTAGCTCAGAAAAACTGAGTCTGTCCATAAGAGCCCATGTTAAAATACCCTGCTTTTACTGTCAAATATCTCAGAAACGGCACATAGGAACACTTTTTTCTTTTGACCATTAGAAAGTGCGTCTCTCAGAGAATAAGTGACCAAATTTTCACCAACTTCTTGTTACTTTTACCTAGGCGCTCTAACTACTTTAAAAACAGGAAATTATAAGTAAGTATAGTATTGTGCAGTATTATGCAGTGCAGTATTTTTTCTCTAAAAAAAAAGTATTTTGACTTTTGTTCTAAAATAATTAGGGGAGCTAGTAACTGGCTATAAAGAATTACCGTCGCGCTAGGCACCACCCTGTATAGGTAAAGCAAAGAAAAATAAACTTAAACATCTTCTAAAGGAAACTATACGGTTTGACTCTGGCTTCTGCTTCAGCGCAAATCTAAATATCAATATCAAGCAAAAATTTGTCCAGAGCAATGCGCATCTACTACGTTTTGCGAAATATGGAGGAGAAATAGCGTAAAATCCAACGAGAAATACCGAAGAGCACCATTTTCAGAATTGTTAAACGTTTTTGAGATGGCAGCAAACTTTGGGACAATAAACGTTACATTTTGACGTCCTGGACGGGACCCCTTAAAAAGATGGCCCTAATATTCAGAAAACGAGAGTAGGAGGTACTGATACACATTGGTCTCAATATAGGACAATTATTGAACGTTGAAGCTGAAGTGATTTTTTTACCATATATGCCTAGCAATTACAGCGATTGCATCAAAAAAATTTAACAAAAATTTATTTGAAGGAATATGAGATTCAGGTAACGTCTTCGTACAATATACCTACGTCTAGTTGTGACTTGTCAATAATACTATGCGATCAAAAAGGAGTTGCTGTCGAGTCACCTTTGAAATTTTTGTTTACATGGGAAATCGTTAACTTGAATTTCCAAAGGCGACTCGACAGCAACTCATTTTTGATCGCCCGTTATTAAAGCTGGGTAGGTACTCATTTTTTGCAATGAATTGCATTTCTCTTTTTTTTTCTGCTGATAATTGCACATGCATGAAGTTGAGCAATAACATCCTTATATGCTTACCTCAATTGTAGCCGTTCTATTAATGTATGGATTATACATTAAAGCCAGCGATTTATGGCACATTAGTAAAGCTATTGCACTTATGGCACGTATTCCGTGTACTGCTTTTATTTCGCCATCTTCCTTCTTTGCATATTTTGTGCAGTTATTATTGTTATTATTCACATTTATAGTCTCGTCACCATTGGAAATATGTTTTAGTCTCTTCCAATTACTTTGTAAAGCAAAACTGAAAAGTATTCGCATAAATTTACCTGTAAACAAGAAAGAAACTTTACTCATTCAAAACGAAGTACAAACCCCTTCCATAGCAATTCGACGAGAAAAAATCGCCAAAAAATTCAAATAAAAATGTTCTCGTTACAATATTGGTGCTGTATTGGATGTTGAGATTTTTGTTTCAACGAGGTATGATTAAACATAAAATACCAGTTTTCTATATTATTATCAACAATTTTTTTACATCTTAATCAAGTAGACTGTGTTGAATTAAAAAAAGCAAACAAAATATATTCGAGACGACAAAACAATTATAATTATGTCCATTTAACCAATTCTCTATCTTTAATAATAAGAAAGTTAACCATGCTATCCCTCGCAACCTGAGAACACTGTCTACCTGTTATACAGTGCACCACTATTTAACTTTGTTTTATCTTAAGGTAAAAACCGTCTGTTTGTATTTATTAGTTTTAGTGATGGACTTACCTTCATTGTTGCTCAAGATTTCCTGGTTGTTCGCCAATAAGGTAGAAACTATAACAACCAGCAGTAATGTCATAAAAAACGCCCTAAAAATAAGCACACAAATCATTGACGTATTTTACATTAAAACACATAGGTACAATATACATTTTTAAATCTGTTGGGTTTATCTTATTTTTTAAAATTTTTTTATTGCTGTACCTGTATTGAATGTTTCTAAATTTATTAATCCTCCTGTATTACCTAGTTTTATTTCGTAGAAGTGTGTTTCCTGAGCCATGTCGAATGGGAGCCGCACTAATAAGTGAAAATACATGTACTTACAACTATTGTGGTAAAATAATAAGTCAAACCTAGAGGCTATACTAGCATATTTTCATAATGGGGATGTCGCCACATTTACACAATCTCATCGTTCGTGCGGCCGAAGTAAACACTAAAATAAATCTTTATTTAATTGGCCTACCTCAAGAAATTTATTTCAGCAATTCTTTAAACTAATATTTAAACAAAAGATTGTCAAAATATGCCATGCTCTGAAAAAAAGTTACTTTATATTGATAAACCACATTTTCACCCCTCTCTTCTCCTTATTTTTCAAGACCGAGAACAATTAATACCTACATAAGAGCATTTTTTTCCAAACTTTCCAATTTGTGGAACTGCTTACAAAATTTAATTTGATTTAACATTTCAGGGAAAATCTCGTTTTTCTATTTTGGCTTGCTTTTTTAGTATTCTAGCGATGATTGTTCGAAACTAAAAATAATTTTCAGAATGTTCTCTTTCTTCACCCCACCGCTCTATACAACCGCATATCATTTTTCCTTAACTACTACTTAGGAAACATTATACCTACAGAGTTATCAAATGATGTTCCTGATTTCGACTGTCATTATAACCAGGTTAATATGTTTTAAGATCACTTTCGTTGGTACCTACTACGACGGGAAAGAAAAACTCATTGTTTTGTTTACGTTAGTAAATTGGCCTCCAAGATCTCTTGATAGCATACCCCCTGTTTTTTCCTGGTGGGGACACATCAGAGATGAAGTGTATGTACCTACACCACCATTACCAGAACGCAAACCAGGTCGTGGCAACATATGTATCTTAGTTATACTTATCAGTTTGTAGAAATTTTCGAAGCAATTTACGTAAGGGTAAGAATCGTTGACATTAAAGTTTTACCAATTCACAAAGCTACCCTGACAACACTAGGCTTTATAAAGGGTTACCAAAACCCGCGAACTTCATACCGGCTATCAGTCAATGTTTTCTTGGAGGAGGACGAGTGCAACCACAAAACATCACCATGACACGAGATTTTTATATATTAGATTTACCTTGCAACGTAGTCTCCGAAACTTAGCGGCCGAGAACCTTGATTTGCTCTCCTGCACATGTTTTCACGAACTTTTGCCTTTATCCCGAATTCCGTTTTTAGAGATACCTCCAATTCCTTTGCAGTACACTCCGATGGAATGCAAATTCCCCATTTGATTGTCGTAAAGTCAGGGACGCGATGTTGTGGCTAAAACAAAGGTTCAGTTTGAATAGCGTGGTTGACGCTGCCAAAATAATAGGAACGGATTATGTTCTCAATCAATCTGTTCGGTTTTCGACAAGTGGCTTGTAGAATTTGCTTTCTCTCCATCCTCCCTCCACTGTACCTAAATTAAAAACCAAGATACAGATCCTTAGTAAGTAGACAGTTACAATCACAGTAGTGCTGGTCACAATATTTATAGAGTGCCATCCGTTATTTCCAAAACTGAAAGTGAAGATTTTTCTTGCCCAGAGATAAGAAATCGAATTCAAAGAACAAACTAAATATATTATAGACTGTAAGAATAGTTAAGGCCTCGGAAGGACGGACGGACAGAGAAAGTGCCTGCAATACCGCACCCAAATTCGTTGGAAAATCCGCTAAAAATAATGGTAGATGTCTGTTTTATATAATTGAATGCCCATAATTGTTTTTCCTAATTTATACCTCTTGTTGATGTAACTGTCTTTTTGCTTTAGGATTTTTGCAGTAGGAAGTACATAAAAGATTTGGTTCTAGTTTTGTCAGTTTAAATTACAAACACACCAATAAATTTTATTTTCATTTCTAAATGTATCCCTGCTGGACCAGTTATACCCATGCATCAGGTGGCCATTTCTGACTCCAATTTTGGCGAGAAACAAATAGCTGTCTCGCTCTTTAATATTAGGGACTGAAAGGAGCAAAATTCAAACAGTTACAAAATTTCTAATCGTTATATCTATCCACCTAACAGATAACACCGCCAAAAATAAATATAAATTTTAATCAAAAACATATTTACCGCCTCTTGATGTTAAATAAAATTTAACGCGCGCAAAAGAATGGTATTAATGTACCAAAAAAATCACACAACAAAAAATTCACAATTAATAAGAATAACTTTACCAATCCCCTTGGTTTGGGTTCACTTATCGTTCATAAAAAATACACACATTGGTTGGTTGCGCCGCTTGACCTCACATTCCTAGGAACAAAAGGGACTGGACTGACAAATTTGGAGATTTCATTCCTACTATTTGAATAAGTATTCAGTGGGGTGCAGAAACAACGTCGGATTAAGTCGAGATTACATCCGTTAGGTGCGCTCTTAAAAAACTTGAATTTTTACATCGGTCCCATATTTTTCCGATGCCGGGGAAAGGCGTAATTAATTAAAAACAGTTTTAATTTGTTTGAACGTATCGAAGGTATGAGCTTATACGAACTCCCCAGTGTTCCCCTACTCGAAATGGACGTTTAGATAAATAGAAAACGCACTATGAAAGGATCTTTTGCCTTTGCATCTTCGCAAGCTACTTTTTGTAAGTAGCGAAATTTTGAGCTTTGCCATAAATTTACTTTTGTAACCGTACCGTATTTACATCACCGATTTTTTGCATTTTAGTGGTTAAGCGAAAGTACACTTTTTGGCCTGTTGTGTTTCAACCATATTAAATATCGATATTTTCCGTAAATTTCTTTCGTTTTCATACTTTTAATTTTTGTTTTTGGGTTAAGTTTACCGCGCCATTTTGTTTTTTTCTTGCACAGTAACTTCTACATTTCCGTTTAAATTGAACGGTAAAAGTTTTTTTTTGTTACTTTCCGTTTCCGTAAGATGCAATTACATACTACACAAATGCAATCCAGAACACAATCCAGCTTGCTTAAGTGGAGATCCTAAAGAAACAATCCACTAATGGCCATTTTAACAGGGCAGTGATGGTTATTTTTCTTTTTATTATCTAATGTGTGTAAAATAAAATTTGTCAACATAGTTGTGTGTTAATCGGACCCTTTATTAACGACACACAGAGAAGTTTCATGTTTAAGTTTTAATTTTATTTGGTTCTCGCCCAAAGTTCATTTTAGGTGTTAGCCAAAATTTATTAACAGTCTGGAATGTAAAGATCTTGATAATGGTGAGAGTTAAATGTGCTCTTTGTGGAACGCTAGGCCAGGTAGAATTATACAGGGTGTTACATATTAGAAGTATGAATAAAATGGCGAAATTGCTTCTTTAATTTTGTTCTCAGCAACCATAAGAGTTACAAAAACTAGTGGCACGTCTATGAATAAGTTTTGGGGAACGCTCTTTCCGATTTTGCAAAAAATTTAAAATTCCTACCACGAACGGGTGCACGCCTACATGATGGGGGCGCGAAAAGAAACTCTAAAAACAATTTTTAAAAATTCGAAACAGATTTCACTGCGATCTTGCCCGGACATCAAAAATGAAGAGAATTTCACGAAATTTTATAGGACATACCTGATTTATCAAATAGTTTTTTAAAATCAATTTTCAAACAAAAGTTATACTCATTTGAAAATTGTTCCATGGGGTCACAGACTTCCCTCACCCTAGTGATTCACCTAATTTCGCATGAGTAGTTATTTAAAAATGTCGGAAATAACAGGAAAAAGTAACGATTTACGTCGATATAACTTTTGCCAGTTTTTTGTGCAGAATGTGCTAGCTCGAATTTTGTAACCGGGAGTCGGTATGTTATGACAGTCCAGCATAACAGATTTAATTGGTTGACTACAACCAATCACATTACTTAAAATTGATTTATATATTAATTTAAAAGTTAATTCATTTTTTAACGACACGATCTGCTGTAGAAACAAAATAATTACTTGGCAACTTTGCAATTTTAATGGAAAAGAAAAATTGAGTGTAGTAAACTTTTCAACCTAGGTTCAATTGGATGCATTCGAGGATGCAATGAAAACGCAAAAGGTCTATCTTCCGTACTAAGCTTCCGTTTATGTAAAATTGCACATGTAGGTACAGATAGGTATTGATAATGTCAAAATTATGAAAAATGTTTCCTTATTTATGCTCGACTAATTAATTCGATGCAAATATCGTCTAAGAAGAATGTAAATGAAACCTATTAGAACAATGGTGATAGTAATACAAGAAATCTTACTAACATCAAGGTTTTAATTACATATGCACCATTGTAATAAGAATGATCAGAGATGGTGATAGCAATTGAAGTCGGTCACTTAGGAATGCATAACGTATACCGCCTTTCTTAGTTTTGTTTTTTAACATATAGTCAATTACATAATAAATAAGCATTGAATAAAAAATTAAATATAAGTCAATTATATGCAAGTAAAATTAGGTGAGCAGTTTAATAAAAGCGTGACCGTGCTATAAACATAATGTGAACACTTCGTGCTTTAATTTTGCAGTGCAATTCCAGTTAACTGTATTTTGAAATTTCTCTTCAACTTGCAATGACCTATTACTAATACATGGGCGCGATATCTTATTGCCCATCGATACGTCTAGAGCGACATATGATGCAATCGTCAGTCAATAAATAATATACGCCGCCTATTTAAAAAGTAGAGCAAATAATTAAAGTTACCACGATTGGCAAATTATGGAATTTTAACGGTAGTGTATTAATTTTTTTGCGCACATTAAGACTACCACTTGTACACCGCCAAATTATCTACTCAAACTAAAAATGACTTCATCAACCCTTGTTTAATAGCAACTTGATTTTGTTGTTAACGTTGAACGCCATATATGGGATAGATATGTAACTGAGCAAACATTAATTTACAACTTCAAAATGATATGAGGAATAAGTACTTCCACTGGAACTACTTTAAAAACGTCGTACCTGGGTACATATCTTCGCTAACATTGAATAAGTAATCAGTAATCACTTAAACAATGTCGCTAATAAAATGTCCATTAAAGACTGTACGGATGGTACCAGCTAAAACTATTGAGCTTCTCTGTGCCTAAAATGACATAGGTACGTTTAAAAGGTTTAGGATTTTTTAATGCTCTATAAATTATATTAAGTTATACAACAACATGTAGTGGATTTAAGCAATTTTGTTAAATACCCAGACATAAATTTTGTAATGCATTGCCACCAATTCAAGAACCGGCGTATTCTCGTGAACTGGACCTATACCTACGACATTTATAAATTATAATAATAACAGGGGAATATGAACTAAATTACCCATAACGCTTACTTAGGTATATAATTTATGCTTAATTCAAATTCAACTAATTAGATGTTATCGTGACCGTATTTAGTTATAGTAACTTGTTTTTAAATATCAAGGAATTCGTATTAGGAGTAAAAAATAGTGACCTATTAAGTTTTAATACAATTACACTCGTCTCAGTTTTAACCCGGCTATTTTGAGTCATTATGTTCCGTAATAAAATGACTTCATTTTAAACTAGGTACCAAATCAAACGAATTACCTACAGCCCTTTGCAAAAAATAGACGTCGGAAATATTCCATGAAAGACAAATTGTTTTATTGTACATAAACAGAAGTATACAATGTGTTATACGTATATATTAGAATATGTAAAAAAAATTGGATGGTAGAGGGGATCTAAACAAGCACTTTTTACAAACAAACCGAGGGTTTAACGTCCTTCGTTTGGGAGCCACCATCAAGAAAGTGGTGAAATTTTCATTTCTTCTTCGACTAAATGAATCTGTAATTAGTTTTTGTAAATTCGAAAAAAATTCCACTGCAATTCTTGGCGAGACAACGAAAATTTGTTCTCTGCATGTGCATACTTGATGGGTTACCTATAAGGGTCTGCGTGTGTGCGATGCATTTGACGTGTTTTCAATCCGATTTTATTAGAAGCATCATCAGTTAAAATTTTAGAAAAAAATGATCCACAATTAAAAAAGTTTATTCCCTAAAATTTCAAAAAAATCCACCTATAAATAAAAAAGTTGGGTCTACGCATGCTCAATCTATTTTTTAACACGTGCATATAATAAATGATGGCATCAAGTACCATGGCTACCAACAACGCCAATTTCTTCTCCATCATAGCGTCTAGCCATTTCCTCAGTCAATTTATGGTTTATATCAACATTTTGGATCAGTTTTGGATCTCTCTGATCCTTCAGTGGTACAAGACTCGACGTCATATAGCGAAAAACGTATGCAAATAGCTTTGATGGTCATTCGATAGTGAAATAGACAAACAAACGGACAACCACAATGGCGCATTTTTAAATTTTTTTGTTGGAAATGCCGCTGCTTTACTCCTCTTTTATCTGAACGCGGTGGAATAATAAATATTCTTGTCCGGTTAAGGATAATTAATGAATGCATTATTATGACATTTCTAAAAATGTCTCGGAAAATTTTGAATATAATTAAGACGCCCAGCTTAGCACGGTTAGGTTCTCCGATCGTTTCCATGGCAACAATATTGTTTTCTGTGTTGAACTTGATTTTATTTCGCGCTCTCCGTCCCATTTATAATAAGAATACCAGATGTCATTAGAATCCACATTCATTTGTTTGACTTTATCTACAATTCCCGTTAAAGCGGTGACAAGAGAGACTTAGTCTTCTCATTCAAAACCATTACAGTGCCAATTTAACATTGCTATAAAATAAAATTTTACAATTCTATAAAATAAAGTTTTGTATTATACACGATGAGAGTTAATTCACTCAATGGTTAAAACATCATTTTATATAATAAATAAATTAAATAAATATAGCAAACGAGCTCCTGGGTATGGCTATAGCATATGCAAAACCAAATTTTAAATCTGATGTTAGTTTCGCTTTTATTTAAAATTATATGTATGAAATTTCATTTAATTGCTTCCATAAATAAGGAAGTTGGCACTGCGCATGCGCAATACCAAATTTTGAAACTGGCGTTAAATTTGCTTTTATTCCAAGTGGCTATGTATCAAATTTCATCTCCACCTCCATAAATAAAAAAGTTTGCAATTAGGTCTGTAAATGGTCGAGATGCGCAAAGGGCACTGTGAATGCTGATCGATTAAGCTCAACTTTTGGAATTGCGGTTCATATAGCTAAAGCTATACGCACATTGAATTTCATGCAATTCGGTTCATAACTCACGGAGATGTCAAAAGGGCCTTCCTTATTTTTTGGACCACATTGCCAATTCACGAATTCCGATCTACCAATTTGGTAAAGAATCCACCTGCTTAATTTCATCGTAATCGGTCCATTCCTTTATGAGTTATCGTGCTAACGGACGGACGGAAGGACAGACGGACAGACACCGCAAAATTATAAACTCGCTAGGAGCTCGTTAATAACTATTTCATCATTGGATTAACCGTATAATCAGCATTTATGAAAATGGAGCTGTATCAACTCTTTCTTCCTTCTTATAACACAGTGACGTGGGCTTAGTCCTCCTCACTCGTTTAAAGATAAGATAACTTGATTTGGGGGGTAAACAGCTACTTACACTAGCTATATGTATACACATAGGTTGAGCAGCGTGTACAGTAATGTATTGACGCGAACATTCCAGACATCCCGATAGACATCCAGCGACCATGAAGGATTAATCACCCGCGATAAAGAAGAAGGCGAATGTGACGCAATTTTTCCAAGAAATATGACGTGTTTTGTTTTAAAACATTCGATAAGACTCGCGACCATTGGGGAACACTCGAGTTTACTATACCGGGTAAATATTCCAAAGCCGAACATAGAGAATTAACATGGGAAAAAGGTTTTTTGCAGATTGCTGTTCCCCATTTTAATTTCGAGGGTTTATAATGACAAGTATAATGACGAGAGCCGCACTATATCCCTTGAAACTACTTTTTGCGATGCAAGCAAGGTAGACCCGTTATGTCTTATCAGTAACGTAAAAATACACGTGCTTTCTTTAATGTATAACAAAATGTATACAAGGTGCTGATAAATCATATGGGTAGTTTCTAATTTCAAAAAATCGGCCCTGTACTATCACCGAAGAAGTACTGTTATGCCAAAAAAAAATACAAGGATACGCACCAAGCTGCAAATGGCAAAAGCACGAAATCGATAGACGGTTTATATTATTTATATCGCGTGATGCTGATGAAAACCGATCGGCACATGACATTAGGTTGCACCCCAATTCCTCATTTCCTATTTCGGTCTCAGTACCGAACATTACATTACACATTGTTGGCTATTTTTGGATATAATATAACAAAGTGATATGAATTTTTTGTGTAGAACACACAATTAACATGCCAAAATACAATTTGTAAAATACCACAATTTGACACCCCTTGAATTGGCGGTTTTAGAATGGTCTAGCTATATGTATACACATCACACCCGAGCCATTGTTTAAATACTATTTAAACAATGCCCGAGCCTACACCTATAGGTACCTACTTGAAATACGACTGCCGCGATTTTTTGTTCCTAGTCTTGAACTGGTGAAGGGAAAATAGCGTATGTATTAATGGTTTCTATAACATCCCTTTGGTCTGCAATAACAAAAGTATTTTTTAATACTTTCAAAAAATGATTGTGATGACAGTGCGTTTGATTGATTTCTTTCATTAAATTGATACATATTCACGTCAATTTTTTAAATGCGAGACCTTTACTTTTTGCTTATCAATAGATATTATATTATGTCGTTTGCAGTAATTAAATGAACCAATACATCGAGATAGAAACGTGTACTTTCCCACATTTAGTAAATCATTATAAGTAATTCATGAATGAAACACGTAAAACGCTTTATGTGTGATACATAAATCGTGCAGCTAAATGCACCTTGAAATGAAAAGAAGAAGTAGATCATAATGAGATCATAAGAACAAGGTAATACAAAAGTGAACCCCTTCTGCATATATTGTTAACCTATGATTTACCCACATCAAAGACAGTGAAAGTGAGGCGGGTCCTCAACACAAACCCGAGAGTTATGCCGAATTATGAATCAAGTTTTTGGGGGTATCGTTAATGCGAAATATTGCACAATATCTGCGGCCGTATGTATATAAAGCAATTCCACAATTCAATTGTATCATTACCAGTTCAATCATCATAAAAATGTCTCTTAGGGTAAGTGAATTACTTTTACGTTATACCATCCGGAAAATTTAAATAATTAATTACAGTATATTGTATTCGCCGCCTTTGTCGCTGTGGCTAATGCTGGAGCAATTGGATATAATTTACCTGCGGCTCACGTGCAATACGCTGCTGCCCCAGCAGTGACATACGCCGCGGCCGCTCCAGCTCATTACGCCCACGCTCCAGTGCACTATGCTCACGGTCCCGCCGTCGCTTATTCTCATGCTCCCGCTGCATATGCAGCTCCAATTGCAAAAGCTGTTGTTGCCGAAGAGTACGATGCCAATCCCCAATACTCGTACGCTTACGATATTCAAGATGCTGTAACTGGTGATAGCAAAAACCAACACGAGACCCGCAACGGAGATGTTGTCAGTGGAAGCTACTCCGTTGTTGATCCAGATGGTGTCAAAAGAACCGTTGAGTACACAGCTGATCCTCATAACGGATTCAATGCAGTGGTCCACAGAGAACCGCTTGGTGTTGCCGTTAAAGCTGTAGCGCCAGTAGCAGCTCCATTAGCCTATGCTGCACCTGTAGCTAAATATGCAGCAGCTCCGGTTGCATATGCTGCACCTGTCGCCAAATACGCAGCAGCTCCCGTAGCTTATGCTGCACCCGTAGCTAAATATTATCACTAGGTTTAATGAATCGATCTGGTCTTGTACATAACTTATTATAAATAAATATTTATGAACATAAACGTACTCGAATCCAGTTAACTTCTACAATCAAATTTCCTTCTCAGCAACATGCGGTAGTTAATGTCATATATGTCATTATAAAACATCTTAAAATTCTGAATTTAATTTAAATGTCAATAGTAAGCTTAGGTCTCCCGTCGTTGCCGTGGAAAAAATATTGTTTTATGTTCTATACCATTTTGTTTCGTACTCCGTGTCCCATTTCTGATAAAAATGACAGATGGTAATAGAATGCACAATCATTTGTTTCTCTTTGTATCTGCCTTTACGTTTAAAGAGATAATTTTAACCACTCTTACTGCTAAAGAAAGGTTTAGCCTACTCATTTAAACCTACTGAAATGTCAGTTTCGCGCCTGCTATAAAATACAATTCCAAAATCGACCTGCCAACGATAATCAACGAACGGTAAACGAAAACTGCAAGCCAGAGCTATACGTTTTAGAAGAAACAGCGAATTAACTGACCAAGCGGTACCATTCCAGTCCGAAGGACCATTAGATCCAGAAAATGCCGCCGAACAATCAACGCCAAGCTGTGACGTCTGCAAACAAACATTCACAACCAAACAAGGTTTAACTGAAATCGCCAAGCAAGTTCGAGAAGCATCGTCTACACTCGGAATGTCAGAACAAGAGAGGGATAATAAATAAATAAATAAATATATGGCAGAAAACATACGAAAACCACGAAAATACACATAACATCAACTCGGAAGTATTTAAAGAAGGCGTAACAAAATTTCAAAAATTTCTATTCAAGCGAACCAAGATCTCTCTGGACCTCAGCATCCTTCGGTGAAATTTTACAGACTTCGCCAACAAAACCTAAAGAGGAAAATTGTCAGCACAACAATCCCAATCTTGAACACACAACGATACCCTAAAAAAAGTGGTGAAATTTGAATTTCCTCTCTAATTTTTTTTTCAGCAACCATAAGAGTTAGCACAATTGGTGTCACGTGTTTGAATAGGTTTTGGGGTATGACTTTTCCGACTTTGCAAAAATTTTTTCAAATGTCCTACCGCGAAAGGGCGAACCCCTAAATGGGGGCGCGAAAAACATTCTGATTTCGACGAAATTTGGTAAATGGTTAATGGGGGCATTTGAACATGAAAATCACGAATCTGAAATTAGATTTTTCGAAAATGGAGAGAATTCCACGAAATTTGTTGTGTACATACTTGATGAGTTATGTAACAAAACTGTCGAAGAGTTTTTAAAAATTACTTTTCAAACAAAAGGTATACTCATTTGAAGATTGGTTCTTCGGGTCAGAAAGTGTCCCCCCGCCTACTATAGTGTGTCATTTAATTTTGCATGTACAAGTAGTTAGTTGGAAATGTCGCAAATAAGAAAAAAATACCGATTTAAATCGATATTATGATACTTGAAATAATGCTTACTGCATTTAAAAAAACTGTTAAATTTTGTTTTTTAACTCATTAAGTATGTACACAATAAATTTCTTGGAAGTAATTATATTCTTCATGGTACTCTAATGAAAGGTCTTAACGAAAGGAATTAATTTCCACCAGCCATAGCCCTCTTCCTTGACCTCTTATCGTGATCGGGTATATTCCCTTATATACCTCAATAACGTATTGTCGGAAGGGTGATTGAGACGTCTGCAAGAAATATATCCATTGGTGATGTCAAAACAAAAGCTATTTCGGTTAAATGCGCTTTATCTGCACAAGAGTTGTGCACAAGCTGTACTTGTTTGGTAATAAACGCAGAAAAAAATCAGATAAACCTCGACACCATAGCGAAAAAAGCATCAAGAAAATAACTCTTATTATAAAGATCTAGTAGGGAAGGATACACGGATGCACAAAATGGCGCATTTTTTTATTTTGGTGGAAATGCGTTAAAAATAAATTTGTCATTAAAAAAAGGCCCCTCTTGACCATGCCGAAGTACCCCACTGATCTGATTACAAATTTAAAATTGGCACGTAGATTGGTAGCAATAAACTTTTTATAATTTTGGCGTTCCAGACAAAATTTCCACCCCGTATACGTGCGAATAATCGGGTCATTAGGTACAGATCGGGTACAGACAATATTTTTCGGTTTCAATCTTCACAAATCATATAACGAGTAAGTTAATTGTCTGTACAAATGCTAACGTTTTTTTCGGCCAAATATGGCACAACACTTAAATGCCTAAGCCAGAAAAAATTAACTTCAGGAAAGTGTGGGGGTAGTTCAGTACGGTTCAGTATGGTCTTGTGTCGTATTTTTAAGTCTACTCAAAGATATTAAATGTATGTCTTGAAATTTTCAAAACTTATCTAAAATTTGACCTTTAGCAGTGCAATAAAATAATTATTTTGGTCTTAACAAGTAGTGAAATTGGGGAGCCCAATTTGGAAATTTCTGCACATTTTTGGTTCTAGTTTCAACAAACTCTTCATTTTAGATATAGGGATTAGAGATGTAACTACGCATTTTGAGAACAAGGGAAATTTCCACATAAAAAAAATACATTTTCAGATTTTCAAAACAGTCAAATGTTACATGAATTCCTGAGCAATTTTTGAACAATTGATATTAGGACAACAACTTATCTAAGCAAATACTGCCAAATGAGTATTGTTTGCAATTAGGGCAGATGAACATTTTTTCAGAAACTTTCCAATGAACTCTAATAATTGAAAACCTTTCGGATTACTACTACGGTCACTTACTTACATCAAATTTTTTGCTTAGATTTGAGAAAAATGAATAACAATTAAGACATTCCATATCTAAGATAACTAGGTGTGAGTCGACGTCCGGTATAACGGAAGATAGTACAAAATTTTTAGATGAAAAAATAAAATCCGTGTGTACGAATTTTCAGAAATTCATTCCCATTCATTTCCCAGATAACAATTGACTCAGGTCATAAAGTGGACACCCTGTTTGATACCGCCAATTTAAACTTATTCAAGTAACGGTGGGATTATACAATCATTATCATTAGTTTACTAAATTCAGAAAGGTTTCGTTGGTTAGCAACGCGCAATCGGCGCAATAAACCTTTGATTATTATCTTTCTATTGGCTATTTCATAATGATTTTGATAGTGAACTAATGATAATGATTACATAAACACAGATACACTTCGATTATATCGCTTGCAATCTTATGAAATGACAATTTTCACAACATTTTAAAACTGCAAAAAATTCGAAAGAATAAGTTTAACCCGAGGTTTAAACAGCATTCGCATTAGTTGCTGTGATTGTTGTGGATTGTCACCAATATGATCCTTCAGTATGAAGTATGAACGTAAAGTGATTTTAATGGGTCGTTACTTTTCATATGCTGTTTTAAATCGTAAGGGTTGTGGTTTGTGGTTACATTGAAATGTTTCTGATTTTAAATAGTATAGACAAACACAAAAGTATAGAAATCGAGCGTAATCCGAAGTTTTAAGGATAAGTATTGTATACTCGTACATAAGTATGCAACTAATCGTAACTTTTAGTTGGATACATTTTCGGTTATTGTAGTGACATTATCCGAATAAAACTGGTTTATAATTAACTGGTAAAGTGCTTTTATCATGTAGGTTAGTACTATAGACGCCGCCTTAAAATAGAAAGAAGTAGATATATCATATTGAGATCAAAAGAGCAAGGTAATAAAACGTGAACCATTTCTGCATAATTGTTAACCTGCGATTTACTTACATCAAAGGCCGTGAAAGTCAGGCGGGAGTCACACTGCAAACCCTAGGGGTATTCCGAATTACTAATCAAGTTTGGGTGTATCATAGGTGCACATTATTGCACAATATCTTGGACATGTAGGTATATATATATAAAAGCTATTCAACAATTCAATTGTGTCATTAACAGATTGTTTCTCGTTATTAAGACATGGCTTTAAAGGTAAGGAAATCGCTGATTGTTCGCAAAAAAATTCATTGATTCATTGCAGTATATTATATTGGCCGCCTTTGTGGCTGTGGCTAACGCTGGCGCAATTGGATATGGTCTATCTGCATATGCTGGTGCTCCTGCAGTAACATACGCAGCATCTCCAGTTCACCACGCTCACGTCCCAGCTCACTACGCTCACGCTCCAGTGCACTATGCTCACGATCCCGCCGTCGCTTATTCTCATGCTCCCGCTGTCGGTATTGCTAAAGTAGCCGCTCCCGTTGCATACGCAGCTCCAATTGCAAAAGCTGTCGTTGCCGAAGAGTACGATGCCAATCCTCAATACTCGTACGCTTACGATATTCAAGATGCTGTAACTGGTGATAGCAAAAACCAACACGAAACACGCAACGGAGATGTTGTCAGCGGAAGCTACTCAGTTGTCGATCCCGATGGTGTCAAAAGAACTGTTGAATACACAGCTGATCCCCACAATGGATTCAATGCTGTCGTCCATAGAGAACCACTTGGTGTTGCCGTTAAAGGTGTAGCACCTGTAGCTAAATATGCAGCAGCTCCAGTGGCTTATGCTGCACCCGTAGCTAAATATTATCATTAAATTTATAATCCGTTTTTGTACATATTCCATTAGTAATAAATATATAGAAACATAAACACCTAATTTAAATCAATTGTTGTGGCTTCACCACTAATTGTTACAACTTAACATGCTACCTCAATCGTATTTGTGTTAACATACGAAGAAATTAGTGAGTGGTTTGTGGTTATAATAGGTGGTATGCTTCGTGAGCAAACAAATCTATACAACAGAGTATCGAAGGATCCAAAATTTTATTGAAAGTCTTATAAGAAGGTCTTTATTGGTCTTGACTTTAAATTCAACTCTTGGGTCAAGAAGAACCTATATACCAGCTTTAAAACTGTAACTCTTCAAGTGAAAAGTTTCGGGATGCGTTTTTAGCGCATTTTCCAACGAAGTTGGGTGCGCTATTGGAGCCACTTTCTCTGTCCGTCTGTCTGAGACCTTAACTACCCCTACCTGCCGCTAGTAAGGAAAAACATAGCGCACATAGCTATGGCTTTTTGGGAAATACTGATCAATTCATGGAAAATGCGCTCAGGTTACTCGCCTTTTAGGGCGAAAACCTTTTTACTTGTTTTTGTAATTGTGAACGGTTACTTATTATCTTGCTTTTTTTAACTTTACTACACTGTTCAATGCACACCACCAATATCCTTTAAATATTAATTGCCTATATTCCCACCCGACATCTACCGCATAAATTCGCTACAAAATCCCCTTCGGGAATATTCGCCCTTCAATACAATTGGGTCCTATTGGGGTGTAGAATGGAGTAAGGAGCTACAGAACCTCTTCTGTATAGATTAGGCACCTATGTCAAAGTAATAATAATAACAGCTTCAATTAGCACTTTTTTGAAAAGTGTCGGTGGCATGATTTTAGCTATCTAAATATTGACTCTTGAAGTTAATTTTAAGAAAGTTAACCGTAGAAGTTTAACGTCCAATCTCAATTTCATGCTGTTAACTAATACAACTAACAGTACTTACATCTTCGAAGGTACCTTTGAAGGGATAATACGAGTGAGCCAAATTCTTGTACTGCACGTAGTGTTCACTCCATACTGAGTCCAAGTTCAGCTCCGCCAAGCAATACTGAGCCTCGACCACCGATAAGCAACCGTCATAATCGCCAAATTGGTTAACGTTGCCGCTTAGAATTCCCGAAGGCAATTTGGCTGTCGCATCAAGCACTGCAAAGGGTTTTTGATTTGTATCGAAATGCAAATAGAAAGACTCATACCTACTCTTAAAAGCCCAGTATTCGTTTCTTTTCAAGCCTTTCTGGAATTTGTTTGTTGCGTTTTGACAGGATGTACTTAATAAACTGTTGTTGGACAGGAAATACAATTGAAACCTTTTCCATAACTTTATAATCGGTGCTTCAATATGGGCAATGGGCACTCCATCTCGCTTCGAATTTGTTCGTGCCGTAGCTGTGGATGTGTAATTTCGCAATCTCGTCGTCGATATGACTAAAAAAAGGTAGGTTATATCAAGGAGCTTAAAAATCGTTTTATTCAAAGGAATGTTGGCATGTTTGGTATACACAGACAGATTGAAGGTTAGCATCCCTTTATATGTGGTAACCGAGAAAGGAACTACTGAAAAGATTAAAAGTTTTGACATTTTTGAGGTGCGTAGTTACCAAACTATACATATCAACATTGTAACGTAAATTTAATTGCGTGATTTATTTATTTACAATTACTTAACAATAAATTTATAACAGTCTTGAAACAGTTATATCACACAATTTATAACACAATACGAGCGCATAGATATTGGAACTAACTCAGACCACAATTCAATTTGCTATAAAACAAACAACAATCATTCTAAAATGTTCTCAAAGTGCTCTAGAACCCTTTTGAATGTTATAAAACAAACACGTCATTTTTCTCGGAAACCCGCCATAGTTTCTTGTCGCCGATAACAAATTTTTCATTGCACCTCGATGTCGGTCGAGATTTCTAGAATATTCCCTACAATATTCTTGTATTTATAAATACAGGATGTAGAAATGGTTTAGGCACTATACGAATTTCAGTGCTCATTTCTTGACATCAAAATATGTTCTCCACTAAATAATGTAGAGCCAAGTTGTAAATACGTTTAAGATACGTATTTTCCAGAAAGAATGAGTCACATCGGGTTGAATTTGGGGACAATCAGAATTATTTAATTATTTCATGTTTGATTTTGTTTAAATAATTCCTTGGTTTATTTTGTTGTGGTAATCGTAAATTTAAATTGCGTATTAAAAGATTTAAACTTCTGGAAATTATTTACGTAGTATGTGTTGTAAATTTTTTTGTCATTTTTTTCTCCGGCTGTAGATAAGAAGTTTTCTTATCGCTGCAAAGTTAATTAGTTTCAAGATAAGGACATGTCATCGCCGTGTTAGAAAATACTGACAGGTGCCCGGATGATTAGGATTTTTTGAACTGAAAGGTTTAACTGTCACCTAAAGTCACATAATAAGTTTATTGTTAGATACCCGTTTAGTAGAAATAGGAAATACGAGTACGACCTCGAGTACGACCGAATTAAATGATTTATTACACAGCGGCCTACACGACTTTAAAAATTTGACATTGCCGTCATGTTTAAAATTTAACTGCAGGTTATTTTAAAGGTCAAGTTAGGCCAACAGTCCCGAAAATATTTTTGACGTCATATTTGGTGCCTGCATTATTGATATACTGCAAACCTTGGATTTCTGCATTTTAACCCTTAGTTTTTCACAGTTTCACAGAAAACCCGATTGAAAACCATTGCAAAGGGAATAGAATCTTATGCTGTTAACAGGCAATATGAACCAAATTTGACCCGAACGGTAGAAGATGAAATAGCCGCCCATACGTAATTATAGACGGCTGTGCCCATACATAGAGAAGTTGATCTGTCAGTAGGAACTGCGACAGATAATGGATATGTCAGTTTGATGCGTCACTGACAGACAATTCTGTCCTAAGATCTAGCGCGTGTGTCCCCACTAACATACAAATAAATATTACCTATGTACGTTTGAACCGCGCCGTTGTAAACCGGCGGATCAACATCTCTGCCAGCTTTGGGGTTGATTTTTGCGGTAAAAAAATGATTTTTCACGATTTCCAACAAAACTGAACCTTCTATCAAACACGTTAATGTAAAAGTTACTGTTGAGAGAAAGATCAACAACTGTTGTTTGATCCTTTTTACAACACATTTTCAACATTTTCCCAGAAAAGTCGGAAAACCGGTTTTTCGTTTACTTTCTATTTTCTTTGATAAACACTACCTTTTTTATGCACAAAGAAAGCAATGAATCCGCGAGACTAAAATACTTATTTTTACAATTTAGTTTGATATGTTTAACCATTGAATAAAAACACTATGTTTAACCTAAAAGATCCCTCCCAGCAATAGGTACTGGTAACTAATATTGGGTGGTTAAGATGGGGGAAGTCCTAGGCCTAGTCTTAAATCTTGGCGTACCACCTTTCATGCCGACTGGACTAGGACTTCTCTCATCTTAATAACCTAAAAGAGACGGAAAATGTCCATGTTAGAAAAACGGTTTTTTGTTTTGTCAGGGCCCTTTTTGTGTTTAAGTGTCCACTTTCAGGTGGTGGTATAAACAAAAATTAACTATGAGATAATTGACCATGAATAGAACGAGATTTTAAAAGGTTAATTTATGATGGTCGTTTCAATGCTATTGCGATTTCTTTTGCATTTATTATCGATTCTTTCTTTGCTAGGCTGCATTAAATGATTCAAATCTCATTTCTTAATTTCACATACATGCATTATTCCATCTGACTTTTCCATATTGATAATCTGAAAGGAGAAAATTTACTTTTCACAGTTTTATAATTGAATTGCTTATTGCTTTGAAGCTTTGAAATGAAAAAATTGAAGTTATGAGATTAGAAGACACTCCATTTCATCCTCCCGACATTAATTTATTTTTCTTTCTGTTAAAAATGTTTTTCTAAAAAAAAGTGTAGGAAAAGCTCAGTGATTTGGTATGCATCCGACGTTGTGGACGATTTTAAATTTTTACATACACGATGCAAATGGCACAACTATTGCCGCCTGATAATTAATTATTGGAGTCGTGTGATTATGTCCGACGAAGCTCATTTTTCGCTCTGTGGAAGTGTTAATACGCAAAATGTTCGTTATTGGAGTACCTACTCAAAACCCACACTTAATTCAAAAGGTGCCTTTACATTCCCCAAATGAAACTGTCTGGTGCGGTCTATGCTGAGAAAGAATCATTGGCCCGTACTTTTTTGAAGACGAGAATAACGCGACAGTAACTGTCAATGGGGAGCGATATAAAGTAATGCTGCGTAACTTTTTGGCTCCTACAGTGGGGCTGTATGGTATGGAGAATTACTGGTTCCAACAAGATGTTGCAACATGCCATACTGCTCGTCAAACAACCGCTTTTTTAAAAAGAATGTTCCCCAATTTATTAATTTCCAAAAATGAAGATTTCGACTGGCCCACGCGGTCACGCTATTTATGTCTTCCCATTCTTCTTGTAGGGATATCTGAAAAACAGGGTTATGTCTAACTACAGGAGGTGGCCATCTGCCAGATCTTATTTTTTAAAAATGATCAAACAAATTATATAGGTCCAAATTAACTTCTAATAAATTAAAAATTTTAAACTGGTCCAAATTATTAAAAAAAAACGTTGGATACCACAAAAAAGCACCTTTAATTCTTAAAAAAAAAATGCGCTAAAAATACAATGGATCATGGAGTGACATGATAAGCCATTTGTTTTCCCTTCTACTTGTTTGTTCTATTTTCTAACAGGTCTAAAATAAGAGAAACGACCCAATATTGTACACGGGCTGTTTTGTTGGGTTGATTATTACCTATAGGCCGGGACTATTCAGCTAGGGGCTGTTTTGTGTACATTTTTGGCGGTGTTTATTATAACAAAGCTATTTCGATGTTCTCATCTGCCTACGTCGCTTTCGTTATCGCAATGCGGTTTATGCTAAATTTGCATTTTCGCAATAACACCTTGATCAATAAAATTGTACACGAAAGGAAAGATAAAACTGGAAAAGTATTTACAATTCAATGGGTTTTCACCTCGCAAAGAACGTTAGTGACTAACGACAAATCGACCACAATTAATATAGGTATTCGCTTGTTTATGGGGTAAATATGAGCAGCAATAAAAAGCTTAAAACAATAAACAAAATCGTATGAAGAGTAATATTATATGGTATACCAGTGCATATATACACTTACAATGCTAATATTAATTACTCACTGAGATTATCCGAGGGATGAAATCCGCTATTGCACTGTTCGTTCACAATCACATTTTCGTGAACAAAACTATATCCAAAATCGAAAAGAAACAAAACGAATACTATGAAAGGAGTCATTTTTTAAAGAGGATTAGACACATACTAACTCATTGACCTAATTATCAAGGTTTATAAAATAACAATTTCGTAAAGATTTTGCAAACCTTTATATTTATTATCTAGACATTCTTTTGATCGTTATTCATTATACTGCAATTGCTAAGGTGAATCGCTTACTTATGACTATAGTATAAGTTGGCTTTTTTTCATTACATGTTGCGCCATCGTTATATTTATTGACCATTATATTCATGTGCAAATAAAAGAAATGCGTGTGTTTTAGTAAGAATTAATCTATTTTTGATGCAGGAAGTTGTTGAAAATAACATTTGCATAAATTTTTTATTATGTACCTACGACCTACTCAGTAGCGGATGAACGCCTCTTGCCACGATTCTACACACTTCACATCAAGACATTATTATACCTAAGTGCATATACTGTTGTTCCCGTGAAAAATAACAAAAAAAAACAGAAATCATGAATTGGCTAATGCAACTATTTTACACCGAATGCACAAAGTTAGAGAGGTCAGTCTTCCATTCAATAAATCTACCTAATCAATGTATACCTCCTCATAAGTTGAGGGTGTCATTATAAGAGTAGTCGATATAGTTACGGGTGGTGGCCGAAGCAAAGCTATTTTTGGCCAGATCAAAGCAAATTTTCGAAACGCGCTGGAACGGATCAATTTTTGGGTTTGTCTTTGATTGATAACCATGAAAAACTAAACATCTGGATAAGTTTTGAATTAAAAGAACCAACAAAATTTTGCTTGATCAAATTTCGCATAGTCCCAAAATTACTACAATGTTTACTTAAATAATAATTTTGACCTATTTTGTTCAAAATTCATTGGAGATATAACGGACCCACGAAGTAGGTACTACAGTTACTTGATACGCATAATGAATAGTGAAAATTGTTTCAACGCTACATTATGCGTATCCAGTAAATTAGAATATATTTCGACCGTAGCTCAATGTGTTTCTAACGCTCCCTTTTAAATTGACAATCAGTTTAGGTAAACATTAATTGGCTCAAGGTAGATAACAATATTCGGCAAATGTTTACCGTATTTAATTAAACAGTTTTGGACCATTGTGACCATTTTCCTTCAACAATGAACCTACCACAATTATCTTCAAATTGGAACTAAACCTGCAATCTAATTCAAAAATTAAAACTAACGGTCGAAGTATCAGTGAAGTGTGAAAACTCTCTCATTATACTATTACAGATCTCTTTCATTACAGACTTCTTCAGAAATCAGAAACGAACGTCACAGTAGTTTCAATGGATGCAGCCCGCGGCATCTTAGTTAGCGTCGAGTTTTTGAGCGTAGGCGGCAGGCTCGCTCCCTGGCGGGACTTGTTCTTGGATAAAGACATCTTTTGGATATGCGAACAATAGAACTACTCTTATTCGAGATGTCTACATACCAAATTTCATTAAAAAATATCTTAACAAATTTTTAAAAACGGATTACGCATGCGCAAAGCAAATTTTTTGAATCGGTATTCGTTTTACTTTTATTCGAGGTGCCTGCATTCAATATTTCGATTAACTTCCCATTACTTTTTCTTTTTGAGTGACACCCAGTCCCGGACGCGAACTTTTTCCACAATAAAAACTGATTTTTCCGTCCAATCAGAACATCCATTAATCTACTCAACGTGGAGTAAAATCCCGCTGCATCAGTAAACGTAGAAGCCTCGATAGTCGATAACCATGACTGCAAAATAATCAAAATCCTACTGTAATCCGAACTACTCGAGAAAAAAATTTAAGAACTGCTGCCAAATAATGAGACCACTCTTTCTACCTAAAATCGTCACAATCGAGAAATAAGTCAAAATCTTTTCATCTCACAAACACCTTCGCCCTCCAAATTCCAGCGGTAGGTACAGTTGCGGCTGACAGTTGCTATTGTGTAGTAGTCTTCTACGACAGGCAGGGCCTTCGGTGGCAGGGGTATTTTTTCACGCTCCTACACGGGTAAATGCCAGAAGAACATACCAAGAAACATTAATATAAAATCTCAAAATCTTCGTTTCACGAGTAAGCAGAACGTAGGGTGTAAAAGATCACGTGATCACTAAAGGAAATTATTAATAAGTAGGTACCTTCTAATGGTAGTAGGAGTCCGTTGAAGTCGGAACTTAATTCCTGACCTACCATATACATACAGTCTAGGGAAAAATAAAGTCACTAGATATAGAAAGTACCGCAATCATCCGCCATTTTTGGGCAAATTAAAAAAACCTTAAAAAACCAACTTAAAAAATTGACAAATAAAATCTGAATAGCTGTAATTTTTTATAACCTAACTTCATAGTACTGTCATGTTTTATAAAAATATATACAGATATCTCCAAACAGGTGGAACAATCCCTAACATTAAAGTTACTGTAACTAGAATCTGGTAACTTCCGCCATTTTTGGGCAAAAATCATGCGTTCTCTTTCTAACACACGAGCCCAATGGATTGCGGTACTTTCTATATTTAGTGACTTTAGGGAAAAACTACGAGCAGAGCCACCTAACGACGGACGTTTCGCGGCACTTTTCAATCTCGGTAGCAGTCGGCTGGATATGGATGGCATGAATGAACTCCTACGTTGTGTAAACTGTAATCGGTTTTTGTATATATATGCCAAAAATATACCTAGTATGATCTTTGTGTGTGCTTAGAAGAAGTAAGAACAAATAAAATATATATCATTCACACAGTAACGTAAAACCAGTAGGGAAACATTTTATGAAAAGAAAACATGGCATAACCCACACAAATACACGAAATAAATCAAATACGGCAACAAAATGCAAGAGAAACTACACAATAAAAACATCTCAAATTGTCCGATAGAAATAAGGTAATCGAATCAAATGCAGTTAAACAAATTCATAAAAACAAAACATACGAGACATCGTAAACATGATAGTCAAGGGCATTGGAAACGATTTAGGGTTGGGCAAAATTAGGACAAGGGTAGAAAATAAATAACAAATTTTCACATGAAACTTATAGTACAAGAAAGCATAAAATGATTACCACATTAGATTTTTTAAAATAAAACACTTAAAGGCCGGTCCAGACGCTACGTTTTGCACAACGTTTTGTCTGCACAGTTCAACACATTGCAGATAAAACGTTGCGTGTGGATAGGAAAAATGTGCAGTTTCGAAATCATCGCGAAGACGGTACAGTTGCAGCGATAACTAAGCTAGAGAGAATAGATATCCTTAAACTGTGCGGACAAGTCGGCGCAGTCTACACGGTAGCTCCGTTTTCCGATTCATTTTGTTGATAGCATGCAAAAATTGAGCAGATTAGTACCTCCTCCATGACGATGCCAAAAACTGAGCCAAATGTGGACGCTCTAAAATTGCAACGTTTTCATTCCGTCTTAAGACTGCGCGGGACAAAACGTTGTGCAAAACGTAGCGTCTGGACCGACCTTAACGCTACACGGGTTACACCAGAGACATGGAGAGATGTCTCTGGGTTACACTCACCATTACTCCCACCCAGCTCGAATTCGAATACAGTTAACTGACGCTAAGTTTCTCACCAAGCTTCGTTATGAAAATCCCAGGTCTTCGGCTACTGCGTAACACGATTGCTGTAAGTATACAGAACGTATCGTATTTTTGTTTCAGATGTAATAGTGTATTGCTTAACCGTAGTGACTGAACAATAAACGAACGCCTTGAAGCAGATGGAGCGTCTAAATTTTGTACAGCTTTAAGTTCAAACGTGCGCAAAAAATTCTTTTGGTAGATGTATCATAAATTGACCGATCTTCTACTAAGGGCTGCTGTCTCAGCCTTTGAGTTATGCAAGTTAATCCGAAATCCCTTGTCCATTAAGTTATCACTCACATGGTGGAGACTTGTTTGAAACATTAGAGTTTCCTTGCCCTTGGCGGCCTCCTCATCTTCATCGGTCTTCGGTTTTCCTATAACGTTCGATCAAGCCTGAAAAAGATCAAATGTAGACGATTCCCACAAATCTCTTCCAACTTCTCCCACGAAGTCTGGTGTAAAAAAACGGTACCTCACCTAAAACCGGAACTATTATTCAAGAACTTATGATAACCGGAACCGATGCAGTTATTATTAGTGCCAAGAAACCGGTATTTTACGGTTCTCTCTCTGTCTGTTGTAGGTAGACACGTTGCGATTTGTGAAAGGGAAATCCGTTTTATGTCGTAGCTCTTAAAATTTGGTTTCGAAGGGTTGGTGTTAAGATTTTTCATAGATTTAACATTAGTGTTTATTGATGTTCATTACGGGATAAAATAATACCTATACGTAAGATGCGTAGAGTTGCCTGAGTTACTGAGATTCAGCATTGAATAAAAATTTGTATTCAATGGATTCAGGTAACATAAAATACTTTAGAGTTACTACTTAATATCGAAAATAAAAATACTCGAATCAAAAACAGAGGGCTGAAGAATGCGTAAAGTTAGAAATAGCTGAAACTATTACTATCAATAATAGCGGAGAATTGGCAGAAGTGAAACGAACCCGTAAGGTAAAGAGAATGTTCAATTAAACCTAACACATATGTCTATGTATAATATTAATGTAAGTACTTATATTTTGTGAATTATTTTTTCTTATAATATATTTTTTATTTGTTTATTTTAGAACCCTGAAAACCGAGAAAAAATTGGAACCGAAAACAAGAACCAAAAATTATTGAGGATCGGAATCGGTACTGGAACCCTTAAAGATCTACCTAATTACAGTGGGTCCGAAACCTATAATTCACATGTGTCTACTCTCCAACCCCACTACTCTTCATAGACACATTAACATAATGAGCTACTGTTACATACCTTTACCATGCTAGCCTATACTTATTTAAAACCATATTAGAGCATTTAATCCCAGCGTACAATAAACTGGCAAACTCACAGCGTAAGTGGTAAAATTGGTGCTGCCCTAGTGGTAGTACAATTTTTTTTTAACTGATTGAAATTTGTGCAGCATTAGTGTGCGTTTACAATGAACGTATACGTAAATATTTCATAAACCGTAACTCGTACATATCCGTATCGTTTCCGTAAATTTACTTCGCTGTTTACAATAAACCAAAGATAATACGATAAGTAGTATGATATTTGACCGTACGTAACTTTGAAACATTTTCAACCTTTGCGACTATGCGCAAGACTTACATATACGTATGTAAAAATTACGTTCATTGTAAACACCTTCGTATGTTTCTATACAGTTCAACTTTGCGAAATTTTTACGTTTTATGTATTTCTTACGTATACGTTCATTGTAAACGCACACTTATGCAATTTTGGTGTTTGTCTTTTTCGTTGCACACTGTGTGACATAAAAATTGAAGAAAACCCAGATCTGTGGTTGTTGAAAACATAACCACAAAACGTTGTTTTGGTGAACATAACCTATGTAGAAATAACAAATTTTAAATATTGAGCATGGAAGCAGAATTATTAAACCTTTCAGACGAAGAATATGTTGTTCAACGAGCAAAAAGGGCACTTAAAATTGATCCTGTTGCCGCAAAAGCCTGGATGATAACCGCAAAAACTTTGTATCCTAATAACTTTGCGGTTCAAGTAATTTGGCGATTATTCACTCTGACCTTTTCAAAACAAATAATTTTAGTTCGAAGCCTACAAAATTGAGAAAGAAGCAGGTCACCTGAAGGAAGCGGCAAAATACTTTAGTGATTTGTATGGAACTTTTATCTTAAATTTGTATTTCGTCTGTCTCAACTTGCCTTTGTTTATGTTGCCTCCAGTCACTCATTTAGGTTAATTTTAGATTGGGCAAGTTTCAAAGGGAGCCCGAATTTTGGCAGGAAATTGAAAATGTTACGGCTGCGCTTCGGTATGAACATGATGCATCAGACACCGATAAACACTTCTTATGTGAAATGTTTAAACACATATCGTTCGGTAGGTATGCCACATTTATTTTGTTGTACGAACTATTTCAACGTAGATGTGCAGCACCAATTACTTCTATTCACCGCTGAGCATTGTGAGGATACTATGGAGCACTGCAAACTATTATTGCTTTTATTGCAGCGGTTTCCAAATGCTATTTCAACACATGGAGTAATTTTTTGTTTTCGAATTCTAGATGTTATTTAAAATTCATGCTTGTAGCCAAGGCTTGTGGACACATTGTTGAGTGCTGAGAAACACAGTCACGCCAGTAATCAACCTGTGAATCCATATCGGAAGCTACTCGTTTGTGATGTTCTACCTCTTTTATCAAATGAAAACATGAAAATCGAGTTTTCTTCCAAATTATTGTTCAAATTGTTGCACAAGTCGACTGAATTTTATTTGTGCTCTTTAGAAATGTCGAAAAGTAGTGTACAGGTAAGTCTTGGCATAGAATGTAACATTGTAATTAATTTCTGTGTATATATGTATAAGGGATGTAACACTTAACTATGGCACCACCAAACTTTTACAGTCTTAACTAAACTAGAAATCAGTGCATCTTTATTTTTCAAATGCAGTGCTTATATGTTTTTTAAGATCTTTGAAACAAGCAATCAATTGCTGTACGACAATATAAAATATGCATATGGTTGATATATAAAAAAAATGAAGAAAATCGTGATTGAATATTTAGAAATCTAGACATCAAGATTGTGTTATTACTTATGATCGCCCGTCAGACTGGCGCTAATAAATTTCTCATGCCATTAACCAGCCACGACGTCTCGTACTGTTCAAGACCTAAAACTGAGCTACCTACCCTAATGAAATTCAATTCTAAATCATTCATTTGCGCAAACTACACCATCCACCAAAATCTCACAACACACATGTCTACCAATTACTCTATCTATCTATCCATTTTAAGAAATTAGCGGTAGAAAGCATATTGAAACTTTGACCTTCAGTGTGTTTGGTTCAAACACGAGTTCATATTACACTGAAAAATAAAACAAGAGTCGAATTTTGTAAGCTGATGGTAGTTTATGTTGTCAACTAAAATGTCGAACTGTCACTTGCTGTTAATGTCAAAGATCCAGCGTGAAATCGATTGATTTATTTATTTCCCAGTGCTGGATATTTCTACTTGGCCATGTTTGGTGCAGTTTTATATTTTTCCTATGTGTGCTTACCTATACAAACACAGCGCCATCTACTACCTTCTTATAACGAATAATAGGTATACCATATCCATTATCATAATATAACACAATAGTAAAACACCGCGTTTGAATTTTGGTTAGTTCATATTTGTGATTGCTAGATGTCTCACGAGTCGGAATATTTGTAAAGTGGTGTGCGCCCATAATACAACATTCGGTGCTACCAATTGTAATTGAATCTTCCTTTCAGTAGATGTCGCTGAACCCAGTACAGTTAGCCATATGAAATGTGTTTAACTTCACTGGCTTACTGTAACACCACGCCAGGTGCATGCTACAGTTATCATTTAACATTTATTTTTATAGATTAGAATATAAATTCCATTTAATTCTTCATTTTCACTCATTTTAATATACTGTATAGCACGTTTACGTTCCATTAAAGGTCATTATGGCAATAAAATATATAGGGAGTTCTTCATTATTAAGAGCTCCTAAGCGAATTCATGATTTCTGTCCGTCTGTCAGTCCGTCTGTGTCCCTACATGATAACTCCCGAACAATTACGAATTTTCCAGTTCTGTTTTCAGTAATAGGTAGACAGTAGTCAAGCGACTAAGTGATTAATTTTTTGTCAATACTGGTTAATCGGAAGCGACCTTGTCGCTCGTTGTCTATATTGATTTAGTTTATTTCCTTTTCTTCATCATAAAATTATATTGGGTTGCGATTAATACATTCAACGGGTAATCATAAATAAAAGGTGGTTTTATCTATGATCTATGACGAATAATTATACCACAGTATAATACATACATATTATGATTATAGAGATGTGCGGTTAATTCCTAAGATGAGTGTTGCTGAAAAAGGAATACCTACCAATGACAATTTTTTTTAAACCCAATCAACCAAATGGACATGAAGCTGTTTCGGGTCAGACCGATTCGGTCCCGGCGCTCATTTCGGTCCTCGTGGTTTTGGTCTAACAACTTAATTGTGCTCAAACGGGCACTAACGAACTATTTTTTCTCCTAAAACGCAGCCGTGAAAATTGCATGTCTCTTTGAGAACTAATTACTTCACGAAACTAACAGCTATGGTCAATAAATTTTAAATTATTTGCCAAATATTCGTTCTTAACGTTTTGACCTCAGCAGTAGACTTCTGCCATGTACCATGAAGGACCAGCCCCTCCTTCCCCCAACCAAATTTTGAATTTTTATTCAAGACGTTGCCATATTTTTTCCGGGTTTTATATAGGTATGAAAAACCGGGATCCGGGATAGTGCAGCTAATTTCGGGACAATCCCGGCCATGTGGCAACCCTACTTAGATATATCCTTAATTACAAATTGCAAATGTAACTAAAATAAATTAGTAATAGTAGGTTTTCTTTGTCCATATTTGTAAATTCAAAGTGTAATTAACTTCCTTTAAAAACAACAAACTAGTTCTTACAATTTATTCCAAGGTACACCGTACAGCGCCCCATAAACGATGTTTCATTTTGTGAGACATTACATAGACGCAAGTGTGCTTAAGTTACTGTCCATTAATATAACAAATAAAAAAGTAGGGCGATTAACTTCAACGCATTTTCCAGGCATTGATTCCAAAAGCCATAGCCATGTGCGCTATGTTTGTCTTTACTAGAGGTATTTGTGGTTAATATTTCAAAGACATATCCTCATCAATAAGAAAGTGACACTGCGCAGAGTGCGTATAAACGACGCATGCGCACATTTAATGTTTACAATATGAGATATGTTTGCTTTAAACAGAAGCACCTGTGATAAAAATTTCAAAAAAATATTTTGACAAATAAGACAGTTGATATTACACATGCGCACATTAATCTGATGCTTACAATATGCGATACGTTTGCTTTCACTAAAAGCATATTTGGTTAAAATTTCAAAGAAATATCTCCATGAATAAGTTAAGTAATAAGTTCATTGCTCAGTCCGCGCATTAGCACATCTGATTTTTACTATATGCGATATGTTTGCATTTACTAGAAGTGTCTGTGGTTAAAATTTCAACAAAATATATTAATAAATAAGAAAGTTGATATTGCACAGTCAGCGTATGCGCACATTACTCGTCAAGATTTTTCTTGGTTGAGGTGACAAAGCTATAAGCTACCGAATGCAAAAAGAACGAAATAAATATCTTGAAAACTGTGGGAATAGAGACCTAGGACGGACAGACGGACGGACAGAGAAAGTGGCTGGCAATAGCGCACCCACCTTCCTTGGAAAATGCGCTAAAAATATAATCGGATTATACAAAGAGCGAGAGGAATGTTATACTTTTTTGTCGATATCCATATTTATTGATTTTAACGAGATCGTTTTTCTGAATTCCGTATCTTCCAAACAAAGGGGCGCCCCATACATTTTTGCGCTCAGGGCCCCCAATTGGTTAAAGACGGCTCTGAAAACAGCATCTGGGAAAAATAATTCATGCGGAGGAAAGTTATGAAGGTCGTCTAGCACACCTTCAAAGTATAGAGGTTTCCAAGTGCACGATTTATACTCTCTTTAATATTTTTGCTTATGGAATATCTGGATTTATTGAAATATCTTTCTAAAAATCTGATACAAGAGAACAGAATACCGAACGATCTTCGAGATCCCATCCATCGTTTTCATAGTACATCTTAAGGGGTTGACTCGGTGATCCCACCAGATCAGCATAGCTTGTAAAACAATTTTCTTGATTCGGCATTAGTTTTATTTCTATTCGAGGTGCCTACATACAAAATTTCATTTTCCCATCTTAACAAACAAAAAAATTGGATTGCGCAGATACAAAAGTTGGGGCAAATTTTTTATGTATCTGCGTAGTTTCTTGAGGTTTAAGGAATATTTGCTAACACAGAAAACCGGACATTCAATGTACAAACAACAAAAATTATAAAAAACTTTTCAGGTGTGGGCAGTTTTTGGGCTGTAACTTTTTGGTGCGTTAGTTTACTCAGCTGAAAAACAATGGCGACATTTCTTATATCCTTAAGGATATGTGTACCCATTTTCAAAATGATCGGACGTTTCTACACAAAGTTATCGTGCATACGGGCGACAAACGGACAGACAGACAGCAATACAAAATTATGAACGGTCACGAGGATCGTTAATAAGTAATAACAAAGAATCAACGAACTCGATAACGATAAATAAAGTATGGATACGTGCGCATGCAAGATGCAAGTTTAAAAATGTAGTTAATGTAATTACGATGCTAAAGTAAATCGATTACAAATTGTAATCAGTACTTAAATACAAATTTTGTAAAATAGGTACCTAATCAAATACCTACGTAAATACTTTTATGATAAAGTAATTTGTAATCACTATTCGAATACTTTTTGGAGGACTACATTCCAGCTCTGCTTGCAAGTATAGTGCTTAATTATGACGATATGAAATAGGAATACGATATGGGAAGAATATTTAAACTCAATTACCAATCATGTTTTGTATTTTCCCGCTTCGATAACTGATGCCGATCGTTTCGTGACAATAATGAATGTAGTTTCTAAGATGGGCGTATTGAGCTACTCTCAACTAGGTGGCAGCATGTACCGGTACATCTTTTTACAATCATCAAGAATTGGCGCGAACCGGTTGGCTTACTATTTGTATTATACTATGCCATTATCAAGCTCCTGTTACAAACTTTTAAAATATACAACATACATCACAAAGGAGCTCGTGGGCTCATCCCATACCTTCATAGGACAATTTGGTTGATTTGAATAATCTACCCTACATTTCAGGATCCAAACATAAGTGTAGATGATCCTTGGAAGAAACTATTTGCTGTGATTGAATTAACGGGAAGACATCTCGGATGGGAGTCATACCTTATCACTTTTAGTCCCAACTGGTAATATCCTCCTCTTACATTGAAGGTTAGATTACATATAACTTGTAGGAGCAAAGAAAGTTATTGGCAAAAAATTCTCACATTTTGCCAAACTCACAAGACATCAACGCCCGAAGATCAGATGAACACCAAGCAACTGATATACTGTCTAACAATATTTTTCTTAAACTGCTTGTATGACTACAACCTCAGTCTGTCACCAGAAGCACCTCCAGGTCAAGTACAAACTTCGTTTTTTCTTGTGGAAGCATTTACAGGTACCGATCACTAACCCTGCAATCAAATGTATCCATCCACCTGTTCGTAGATCCAAATCTACCAACACCCGTGACGGAACCGAAATCGAAACGGCGTAAAGGCGAAAATGATTCGACACCACTCCTAACGGTAGACAAATCCGAGAACAGAGGTATCATCGGTAACTTTTTAATGGCCGTAAACTGCTGGGATTTGTTTCATTCCTCAGATAACTTGCAACGAGGTAACATTAATGCCATATTACTCAATCTCATGCGTTATCTTCTAGAGTTTAGCAAACTAAACACTCACATTAAACTGGATGCGTGGTTATTTAATTTTCTAATAGACTATTCTATATACAAAGGACTTTACGATGACGCACTGATTCGACTTCAACAAATTAATGACTCTCATTTGTCTGTAGCAAAAAACATTCGACATTCCAGTATTTTGTACTTACGAAAAAGTTATACGGTGAGATCAATGCGGCGATCTCCTCTAATTACTAAATATAGTACGTTGCAGAGTTCGTTTGAGCCACTTTTGTTAGCAATACAAGCCATGCCGCTTGCTAACCGAGGCACTTTAAGTACACAATTAAACACAGGCGGTACTAATAGACATTTGCATTTTTTACCACTAACGCAAATGGCAGTACTGCAATATTGTGTTAAGTTACTGTGTAGATGTATTAAGGTATGTTCCCGCACAATTTATAGTGGTTATAACTATAGGGTTCTTTAAGGATAATTTGATGAAGCAATCAAATAGTTATAATGAACTGGCAATTGGTAATATTTTGGTATTGTTGCAATTTGATTGGCCGCAAGAAGAGGATTTGTTGCCATTAATAATAGAACAGATTCGTCAAAGGGGCTCATTTTCTTATTTACTGTTCCAAGTAGGTAAAAATGTGATTGTAGTTATTTTGTTATTTAATTCTTTAGGCATATATAATTAATGTCGATATCTTGGAAGAATTAACATACCTGTGGACGGAGCAGGGAGGCCAAATATCTCTTGATATTTTACCACATTTAGGGTAAGTGTAATATTCTATCTACGCAAGCTCAAAAACGATGTGCAATTTTACTGTTTGTAGCCAAAGGCGAATTGGTACCAGAGGTGCCGATAAAGGAGTCAAAGAAGAAATTAAATATGCGATAAAGAGGCAAATTGCTAGGAGTAATGAGCCTCTAGATCTTTTGATAATGAAATTTATTAGTCAAGAACGAGGTCATATATTGCAGTCGTTAATGTAACTGCAATTGTTTATTTTTTTTAAAATAAATTAAAGATTGATGTATATTGTAAGAATTTGAAATAACAAGGTTTGTTAAAATTTGCAAAAATATACGTTGTCTCATTTAATTAAAAAAATTGAAGTCCATCGAAAACGTTGAATGATTGCTGTATACAGCGTGCGTATCGTATTTTTGTTTCAGAACTGTAGAGGTAGGTTACCACAAGTAATATCTTAGGCTTTGAATATAAATTTTATATTCAAAGTCCTAGGTCATATAATGCATGATCTAAGAGTAACATAACAAAAAAATAGCATTGTCTTATGTTCTGAACGTCATTTTATATCGTGGTCTGAGTCTCATTTAAATAAGAATGACAGATGTCATTAGACCATCTATTTCACTTTATCTACTTATCTTTATATTATAAAATGAACTTATTTTATTCATTGGTATGGTATTAAATACGCCTTAAATTTGTATATTAGTCAATTTCGAAAGCACGACGATTTTAATGCGATAGTTCAGAATAAATGCTCTTTTTTAATAATGCCGAGCTCGCCTTCGGTTCGCACGGTATTACTCGAAGCGGGACGGATGAGATGATTTTACTCTCCTGCAAAACACACAGTGGGTACCGAGCGATAAGAAGTAAGTAGGTCACTTCACAAAAATCAGTTCACTGCAGCGGCAGAAGTTCTGATTCGAAGATTCCTGGATTTGAAACGAAATGTCCACAAAACCTGCACAGTTTTTGTTTTACAATCTCCATGAACCAACGAAACGTAGAGTAAAAAAAATGTTACATAAAGAAACAGTTTATAACGCCGATTTATTTACAAAATTGAGCAACACCACGCAGTTGTAAATAAAAAACTATTCAACGTACCTACCTAAAATTTTATTACATTAGTTGGTAAATGTAAATATACTTCCCAATTCGACCACTGGGGGAATATGTATGGAAGATTCTTTTCATTAGTTTATATCTAAAATAAGACAATTACTATACACTACTTATACATTCATGTAAACGTAGCCTTTTACCTCCTTAAAATATCAGAAATATAAACAGATACAGTGTCAAATGTTATTATATGAGTAGGTAACGGTTCATCTTTCGGATAGGCACGCCGCAACCACAAACTGGGACTGCTATAAAAATCATCGGCTTCATCAACGTAATTCTTCTCGTGTTGAAAGTTAGGCTCGCACGTTAAAAATCTTGTAGTGACATTCACATGCAAAAAACTACGAGTTTGCAAAAGAATTAGCGCCTTCAATTACAATAATTTACGTTACCTATACAGAGGAGTTGAGTGGCAAGGCATTAAAAACAAAAATCTTGTACCGTGAGGATTTTTTTCGGCTATCGATCTCAATGGTACCATCACATCTAAGGATCCACGTTGATGAATTATTGAAAAATACACGGCCGGAAGCATATTTCCTGCGAATATTACAATGCTCACTAACCAAATTAAAACCCTAAAAAACGAAGTATGAATTATACATGTTTTTTTATAACGGGCGATCAAAAATGAGTTGCTGTCGAGTCGCCTTTGGAAGTGCAAGTTAAGTACGATTTCCCATGTAAACAAAAATTCCAAAGGTGACTCGACAGCTCATTTTTGATCGCATTGTAGCACTGAGCACTTACGGTGAAGCTTTGTAGCTCCATCTTGCCATGTGTGATGAAGTTATCTTTAAAACTATGGGTAGTAATGGCAAAATAAAACGAAATTCCTTGTGTTCCAAACAACTTCAAAATAAAAGTAATTGTTAATAAGTATTATTCTATTGTCAGCGCAAAATGGACGAAGACTTTAGTTTGTGGCTTAATGAAAAAATAGACGGATTTGGCGGGAGTCTATATGAAGTGAAAGCTTGTTCGTGTTCAATTCTACGTAGGTAACAAATTTTGTTTTTAATTTGAACACCGACTTTTGAGAGTGAACCAAAAAAATCGACGGGCTTTCAGCCTTATAACTAATTTTAGAATCTCATTAAACGGGAACCACCAGACAAATTTTAGTAAGTATTTTGTCAAGTGAATTTTTTGTAATAGGCTTTCTGGGCAAAATTTAAATTTAGGAGACGTGAAGGACGCTGTACAGCAGAAAATCAAAAAAATTTTTGTTGCATTTAAACAAATGTATAAATAAACGGCCTTAATTATAGTGTCAAACCCAGTTAAATTGGTTCAACGGGTATTTTTCCATTAGGCCCTGAACTCAAGTTTGCGCCAACAATATAAAGGATTTAGTTTACCTGTAAACAAATAACGTGAACACGATACATCCCAAAAGAGCTAAGTCATGTTGGTGTTCACGTCTATGTTTCAAAATGTTCAGTGTGATAATTACAAACGGTATCATTTGAACACCCAAGACTGCTGGCAATCCCGAAGACAAGTACCAATACCATGGATGTACACCATACCATTCACCAATGTTGCTAAACACATTCGCTTTTAAAAACTCATAACTCGTTATGATAAACGTTCCGTGGGCATACGAATCCAACACAATGGAAGTTCCCAAAGTAATGGATCTACAATATAAACAAGTATAAATTGTGCGCAACTCTTGTGCAGATAAATGATAAAGCGCATTTTATCGTTATGAGCGCAAGAGATTTATTTTCTGTGAAGGCAAATCACAATTTTCAAATTAATTAATGACAGTAAGATCTTTATTTTTATTTTAATAAGTTATTTTGGATGCATAAAATTCGGCGCCCTTCAAAAGGGTGCCATTTAAAAGTAGACATATCCACAGAATACGGCCTTTTCAGAATAGAAACAACAATGTTACAAATTTGTAAGGTATTTTGGCGGACCCTGGTGCGTGTGCTGTGAACTAAAGCATCAAAATCAGAGTAGCGCCATTTGGGGACCAGCTTCTAAAGCCATGAAGTAATTTCTTATTCTGTGGACATATCACGTAGGTAGAGAAAAACAATACACGTAAATCCCTATGCCTACTTCTTATATTAGTAAATATCACTGTATATTCACTTTGGTCTGCGCATGTGCAAACTCAATGTTCACCCACATAAACAATGTTTAAAGTTTAAGCATTCGGTTTCTGATTGATTCTGGATCAAGACCTACCCTTTTTAGCAGCTTTCCATTGATGATGTGTTTCAAGTAGATTGAGGATACTAAATGTTTTGTATGCCCTTTCCAATTAAAAATTTAGTCAAAATACTTACCACTAAACTGAGGTGCCGAAAAAGATTCTGATCACCAACGAAATTTAGTACCTACCTGGCGATTTCTCAATAACTTTAATGAATCCTAAATAATTTTTTGAAAATTTGAAAGAAAAATACTACAATCTTGGCACATGTCCAGCAAAAAAAAAAATTAAATTCCTATAAATGTTAAAGAATTCCTCTGCAATACCAGACTGCCTCAACATCCCTTCAAATGTCGAGCAATTCCTACTAAAAAAATACCATTCCCTCAACTGGAGAAAACACAAAGATAAAGATCACAATTTAAATCTGAATCTACCCAAGCAAATCTTTGGTTTCAGCAATGAAATTATCTTTATGATTTATAGTCGTTTTTTTGTTTATCTACTATAACCACAGATTTCAGTAATAAATGTAAATTTGTCTCTACAGTAAAAAGCGTAGTGGTAGAGCATTGGGTTATAAATCCGGAGGTCGGGTGTTCGAACCTGGGTTGAGGTGAATTTTTCATCTGTGGCGGAGATGGAAATTACCTTAGACCAGTTCAGAGCATTCTACCGGCTACTCCGAATTAGGTTTTCCTGCAGTTTTCCTAATTTGTAAGGTAAATACAGGAGTAGTATAGACCAACTTCTGCAGAGGCACCTCTAAATAGCATTATGCAGGTCACTCTGTAATTGGGCGCATGCCTGTTGAGGGCCCAAAACAAGAGGGACAATAATAATAATAAAAAGCAAACGAGGTTACACAATCTGAAGAACGAAGTACTAACCCTATAGGTATAAACTTTCTGAATATTATGCTTAATAGCTTTTCTTCCGATATTATCAAGTAGTAAACGCACAATGGAAACCAATGTATTACAGCAGTTGGTCGCATAACACACAAGCTCGCCACTATCCACAAAAAACTGGTGTCACTGTAGCCTAAAATGCAAGTTACAATGAGAACTGAACCTTTACAACCAACTTTTTCGACTCCATGGAAATTTAGATAAGGCAATTACAGTTAGGGCAGTCTCCAAAGTGTTAATTAGAGTACGAGACCCGGCATAGAACCAAAACCATGCAGTCGAAATACTAAATACTGCCCACTTTCTCCTCTCGCACCACTTGTAAAAACAGTAATCCGCATAAGCGCTTAGCACAGATTGCAAAATCCTTGGAAGATAAATCTAAAAAAGGTGTAGTAATGTGTGTAATGAGCACAATACAAAATCGTACCAACAAAAGTGGATAATCCAGATGGCAGAATTGTAGGATTTTATACATGAAGTATATAATTAAAGGTTGTGCATAGCTTCTTATTCCCAAAACCCATTCCCACGTTAAATATCCGTAATTGAAGGCAAGCTTGTGTGCTACCTCCAGGGACTGCCAATATTCATCGGGAACAAACCATGTCTGGACTAAAACAACTGACAACAGACGAACAAGCAGAAACAGCACAAACACGTCGTAATTCTTCATTTTTCATTCAAAAAACTATTTAAATTTAAACATCTTTTGAAAGTTCACACGCATTGTTTGTTAGGTTAGAAACACAACCACAGATCACAGTGTTTGAATATACGAAGTATGTCAAAATGATGGTGTATAGAGTAAATATTACAAAAGATATGCTATGTTTGGACGTTAGGCAACCAAACGTACTTTATTGTAAACCTGGCTTTACGGATTGTAAATGGCCAAACGGGGAATACATAGCATCTTCGGCCCAGCTTTGGGGATGATAAATTAGCAGTATCATTGAATTTATACCTATCACACCTAAGGGCTGGTGTAATTTGCAAATGGCGAGTGTAGGTGGGGAGCGGTTTGTAAACATAGGGTTATTCTAGGAGGTTTTTGAGTGAAATTGTACTAATTGTAAAGTGAATTGAGTTTGTCCTGACGTTTTTCAGACTTGAAAATATAACCCCTTAGTCGTATACTATTTGACAGGCTTTTTTCTTCAGAAGTCGAGGCTGTCTTGAACTAGCTTGAACCCGCAATTAACTTTTTTCTATATATGTACAAATAAAGATCACAATTTATTACACATTACGTCGATTGTGCTTTAAACCAGCATGACTGTTCGTGGAGTAATACACTGACCAGTGACCACAATATAAACAATAGTATTTTTCGATGTCGTGCTCTAATAATTATCGATTTAAATTTTTCTTACTTAATTATGACATTACTTACAGACTGCATGTAACATTCTTGAATGTAGCATGTTATAAGATATGCAGCTTTAAGTTGTTCTTATTGTGAGTAGCTAGTGTATAACTACAGTGTCAAATCAAATTTTTGAAAAGGGTGTGTATAGGGGACACTTTAATCGAACGCTAATAATTCTAGCACAATTACACTGATAGCAACTGATGTTATTCACAGCGGTGCGACTAACTTGGGTGGTAAGATCGTACACCAATTGCATGAAATTTAAACAATGTAATTAGCGAAATAAAATCACAATTTAATTAAAAGAAACATAAATAAATTTACAAATGATTGTAAATAAATCACACCAGTTGACTAAAGTAGCGACTTGGATGTGACGTCGGCGGAACGGAATGACGCACGGACTCGAGCGCCACCAAGGGATGAAGCTGGTTAAAGTCAATGGTCAACTCTACGGATCTCACAGGTATATGACGACGATTACGGAGGAAAAATCTAAAAGCAGAATTACGGCCCACGGCAAAACAGCAACTTCTCTATCGCGAATACAGGCAACAAATGAATTAAATACTGGTAGCTACGGGAAATTAAATGCAGGACAGTAAAGCAATATCTCCTTGTAATTAACGTAGTAGAAAGTATTAAACGCTTAACTTTAAAATTTAAACGGTACGGTGATAATGAATTAAATCGTACAGTGAAAAATTTCCAAAAGCTATCTACGTTTCGGTTACAACACCAAAGGCAAATAGATCCCTACTAAACAACGGCTTTAACTTTTATAAAATTCATAGGGGGTCAAGGGTTTTCCAGCCGACAGAGCGCATTCAATTGTTTGCATCTAAAAATTAAAACTTTTTTAAGGCTGTTAATAATAAGCTAACGGAGCTGTAATTTAAAAATATTAATTCGCTCTTATTGCTTCTAAATGACAAGAGCTTTCGAGCGCTACAAGAATAGTCCAATCATTCCAACGGGAACAGCCACAAACGGAACAGCTAAATACGGCCTCTTGTTTTCCCCATTACCAAATCCTAAAACAAAAATAGATATATCATCAATAACAGCTGAGATACACTGCAGTCTCAACCAAAATGGGACACATGGTACACAAATTCTTCGTAAAGATCTTTAACTACTTATGGAATATCTGCCTGTATCGAAATATCTTTAAAATGACAATGAAAACCAACGCATTCGTTAACGTTAGGTACAAAATAAAAGTAATTGTAATTAGGTACAGTGCTAAAGTAATCGATTACAATATTGTAATCCGTAATCGAATACAAATTTTTTGAAGTAATCAATTACTGTATTATTGGCACAGTAATTTGTAATCAGTATTCGAATAGGTACTTACTTGCAATCTTGCAACTACAAACTACAAACAGAGACATCTAACAAAATGTCAGACCTTTCATACCACTTTCAAACCTCGGTATAGCAGCCGGCTTGGACTCGTGGTACGAACAGGACTCCTATGTTGCGTTATACAGTTTCTATTCGTTCGTTTTGTATTGGGATGGGAAATTAAACGAATAATTTTGTGCGTAAGAGAAAACCAGAAAGAGAGAAAACATCAAAATTACATGACTTTGCTCCTGTATTGGTTACCATTGATTCAACACGAAGAGTAGGTATATGTGAAAATTCAAACAGTATTCATGTTAAAGTAGATCATCTCACAATCAGACCTGTATACTAAACAAAAGCACAGTTAAGTAGAGGACTGCCCTTTCTCGTATTGCTTACGTACCGTCCGGCAGCGGGCACAAGAAGGAAATCAACAGTGAACAGACACAGCGAAGAATCGGAACTGTATGTATGAGGTACTTCCTCACGGTATAAATAGTTAGCCGACTCACACAGGCAACATCACACTGATTGTAGACTTCTACATAATGGATACGGAAATTAATAAATACCGGTTCTTAATAAAATCATATAAAGAAGTAACCACCTGTACATACTTAAACTAAAAACATGATTCGGTTAATGGTACTATTAGAAAACGAACCTTTTGGAGTTTTGTACTTTCAGAGTTGGTCGGTCGATGGAGGGGAATAAAAAAAGCGCACTGATCGTAATCCAGATCAGGTATAATAAATCGTCTGGTTGAGGTTTAGTTTACGTTGTTAAAACAGTAACTAAACAAATACAAATTAAAAGTCGATCTCCTACTACATATATTCTCAATTGAACAACTAAATGCGCTTTGCTGGAAAATGATAAACTCAAAACACGCCATCAGATAAGTAAAATTACTTAAATGGGTTATCGAAAGATTTGAACTTTCATACTACCGTTAAGTGAAGGATTAGGATTAATTACTCAATTATACTACCTACCTATTTGAGATTCACGCCCCAATCATTACTTCACGTTTTTCCAAAAAAACCATCTCCATGGCTTACGCCGAGGCTTACGCCAACAATAATGACGTTAATTTCTATGCGAAACAGAGCATTAGAGCGATTCAAAAAATCCAAACAGGAGGCTCACTGGCTCTATTACAAAACCATGCGTAATTTTATCAATAAAGCCAAAAAAAGCTTATATTGAATTTAAAATTAAAAATACTAAAAACACCAACATTTAAGGCGAGCTTTCGGGCATCGATATCGGACGTAAGCCATCCAAAACGCTACTACCGACACATAATAAGCAACGTTAATGAGATTAATAATTTTTTTGTGTCAACCAACAGCTGTAAAAAAAAATCCAACTTTGGTAGAGTATTACCACTCCACGATTCATAGTAACGAGCAAGTTATCTTTTAATATGGTAACGGAGTCAGATATTCTCAAAATAATTTTGGAGTTTCGTTCTAACGCATGTGGAAGTGATGGCCTAACACTTTTTATGATCAAGCTTTGTATTCCAACTATTATATATCTACCTGTTATTACTCACCTCAGTAACTACTGTATAGAACACTATGTATATCCGGATGCATGGAAAATCACTATTGTTCATCCTTTGCCCAAAACATCCGGCCCGAAACAATACTCTGACCTGCATCCTATTCCTATCATATCTATCGTGTCAAAAGTCTTTGAAAAGGTCCTAAACGTGCAGTTGAAACATCACGTAGAACAATTTGGCATTCTTCCCGAAAAACAATCTGGTTTCCAAAAGGGCCATTCGTGTGAAACAGCGCTATTATCTGTAACTAATGACATTTTGATCAATTACGATAATAGAATGATTACTGTATTGATTTTGCTAGATTTTTCTAAGGCTTTTGACACGATCGACCATGTTCTTTTATTGTCAATATTGCACTTTGCAGGATTAGAAATAGGAGCTGTGAAATTATTATGCCATTACTTAAAAAACCGCAGCCAGTATACTTCGTATAATAATTCTGTTTCTTATAGTCTCGAAACCAGTTGCGGGGTGCCGCAAGGGTCAGTGTTAAGCCCTCTCCTGTTTTCTATATACTCTTCACATTGAATTAACAAACTTAAATATTGCAATTACCACCTCTACGCGGACGACACGCAGATATACCTACTATTCGTTCAAAAGTCACAGTGCCCTCACAGCTGGTTTGGAACTAAATGAAGATCTAAACAATTTTGTAAATTTTGCTGCCGAACATTCCCTCTTCGTAAATCCAAACAAATCAAAAATGCTAATATTTGGCAGTTCAACAAATGAAAAAACAACCAATGATATATACTCTATTTTGAACATTAAAATTGGTGACACAAAGTTAGAACTAGTAAATTACGCTAGGAACTTGGGATTAATTATGGATTCAAGTTTAAGGTTTGAGCGTCCAATTAAAAACTGCATTCAAAAGCCCTTTTTAAATCTACGGTACATCTATAGCATTAAGGAATTATTATCATACCATTCGAAAGTAATTTTATGCAAATCTCTTGTGTTGTCCCACTTTTCTTTTTGCAGCAGCGTTTATGGCCCTTGTCTCACTAGTGAAACTGCTCGCAGAGTTCAAGTGGTTCAAAATGCATGTGCTCTTCTCATTTATGGCATTAGGAAATACCAGCATATTGGTGTTAATTCCGTGGCTTAACATGGAAAAATTGCGACTTCTTCATTCTTTATGTTTGTTTCAAACAATTTTGCTATTCAAAACACATGCATATCTTTATAATAAAATTACGTCCAGAACAGATGTTCATAATATCAATATTCGACGGAAAGATCTAATAAGTATTCCAACCTATACACTTAATATTTTCAAAAGGTCCCTTACTTATAATATAACAGAGCTGAATACCTTTCCGTCGTATATAAAAAACCTTCCCCCACCTAAGTTTAAGTTAAAAATTCACTTCTTATCGGGTCTAGATAGCGTTTATGTAGTTTGAGTAATATATCTAACTATATTTTTATTAGACTCACCCTCCCTCCTTATTCCTATCCATCCATTGTTGCTCTAGTTTGCAGTCTTGCTTATTGAAACGCCATTAGTAGATACATGAGCTTATGTCTATATTATTTGTGAATTACGTATGGGGTTTAGTGGAAGAGCACAGCGAAGCAAGTAATTGCTCCCTGTGAACTGCGCCTTTAGCATGTGCAGTTGATATTAAATTATGATGTTCAGTTTTTTTTGTACTGTTAGTTATTTTATGTTCATGGTAATAAAGACATTAGTATTATTATTATTACTTGCTATACTAGGAGCGATTTCTAGTGAATACAGCACATGTCAAAACAATATTTGAATAAGTTAAACTGTAAGTGCAACAAAATTTGTTTAACATTAAAGATGCTTTCTCTGAAACTATGCGTTTCGCTATTTTAAACAATGGCTAATGGCTCTTTGGTAATACAAACTTCGAACGCCATGCTTCAATAAACAAATAACAAAATTTAATCTAGAATGCAAATAATAAAATCCAACCCACATCGGTGGAGACTGCAACGCCAAACATCTTTCATGCAACAGCAAACTACGAGCGCCTATACGGTCCCCATTTGTACGACTATGCAACTACAAGCCGTAGGGCGATATTCATTGACTGACCACTGGAGCCCATCTACTACCTTCCAGCGGAACGCAGGCCTGATGTTCTCGACATCATCCCACTTAGAAACGGTCACTAAACCTCGATTTTCCACGATAAAGAGCGCGATAAATATGGCGACCTCCGCAACCTGGTCGCAAAAATTGTAACACGAAATTTAAAGATAAATAAATGGTACGAGAAAGAATTACACTTACACATAAAACAAAGAAAATAGACATAGACATTGAGAAACCTGTACATTCGGAAGCCATCGCAAGCCCTTCACCTACGCCGACCTTCTGCCAAGCTTCCTACATCATCATCATAGATGAAAACAATGTGCTATCACGTGATGTGATCGATGAATATAATAAGGAGAAGTTAATAAGAATCAAAAGTGTAATGTGATTTAAATTTGTTTACATATATGTCTGCCTCTTTATCAATTATATAACCATTTTTGATATGCATGCAGTATAAATAGATTTGTCAATATATTTCCAGTACAGTACAATATTTAAAACCAAACATCAAAATGAAAATTTTACTCGCTTTAATTTCAGTAATCTCAATTCATGCCACCGAATTGGAAGAGTTTCAAGATAGTAATCTTAAATTCGCCGCTGATGTGTACCAGGTGAGTGAATTTGTGTGTCCTGTTTTTTTAAAGATTAAAAAATGATTACCATTAACTCCTTTTTAGGCAATATCCCAGATAAATGAGCTAAACTTCTTGGTATGTCCGTTATCAGCACAAATAATTTTATCACTTGCAACAGTGGGAGCTAAAGCAAATACGGCGAAACAGTTAAGCAGCTGCTTGCATTTACCAGATGATTCAAAAAGAATCAAAAGTATTTTTGAAAAACTTAGTTACAATTTCGATGTAAAGGAGCCCTACCAGTTGTCGAGCGCAAACAAAATTTTCTTGAACGATAAATGCGATGTTAAAGACGAGTACAAGGAAGTTGCGGTGAACACCTTTAAATCTGGAATAGAAAGTATGAATTTTGCCGATGGGGAAAAAGTCGCGATGGAAATTAATCGGTGGGTCGAAAGCAAAACTAATAATAAAATAAAGGATTTAGTCAAGGGGAATGATATCAATACCGACATCCTAGCGCTTTTGGTAAATGCTTTGTATTTTCATGGGAATTGGGCTTATGAATTTGGGGACAGTATGGGATATCAAGACAGATTTTATGTAAACGAGAACGAAACTGTGCTAATTGACCTTATGACTCAAAGAAACGACTTTAATTATTACAATAATAAAGAAGTGAATGCTGAATTTCTGGAGTTACCTTTCGTTGGGAACGATGTGACAATGACGTTCGTTTTACCCAAAGAAAAAAATGGCGTATCTAGATTAGGGAAAAACATTTCAACGGTACTTTCCAAGCAACCTCTAGAAAAAGTCGATGCAATTATCACCATTCCCAAGTTTAAAATTGAATCGGTTATAGAATTTAAAGGTGTTCTGGAATCGGTAAGCGCAAACTAAGCATGAGAGAATACAGGTTACCCCTCATGTTTTTAGTTGGGCGTCACTGATCCATTCTCAAAAGGCGCAAATTTTGATGGCATTAGTGATGTTCCTCTTCACATTGACAATGTTATTCAAAAGACATTTATTGAAATCAATGAAAAAGGAGCCACTGCTGCAGCCGCCACGGAAATAAGTAAGTAGGATGTAGAAATCTATTTTTAGAAACAAAATTTCGTTTGTTGCAGCACTAATGATGGATAGCCTGCCAAATGTATTGTTTACCGTTAACAGACCTTTCATATACTTTTTAAAACATAGAAGTAATGGAATAATGTTTGTTGGAAGGTACTGTAAACCGTAATGTACCTATCCACATTTATACTTTTCCACAGTTTTTGTTTCTGTAAGTTTTTTGACAAAAATAAAATTCCGAATGGTTCAACAGAAATTAGATTGGGGTGATTTTCATTTGTTGTACCGCGGCAAACCTAAACAAGTTAAAAAGTAATCGTAAACGATTTACATAAAGCGCATTTCCACTTGCATTCATTTCCCATTTGTAAGATGCAACTTCTGTTAAAATCGTAAAAATCCGGCCACAAATATGAAAGATAGCGTTGCACATGGGCAATCCATTGTTGACGTGCTACTTCAATTTCAGTTTATGAGAAGAATTTCATTTCAATGCTTTTCGAAATAAGAAAGTTGGAACTGCGCATGCGCAAACCTAAATTTTAAAACTAATGTTAGATTTTCCTTTGTTCCAAGCGCCTAAGTATCAAATTTCACTTAAATGGTTCCATAGATAAAAAAGTTGGCACTGCTCATGCGCAAAATAAAATTTTGAAACTGGCGCTAGATTTTCCTTTATTCCAAGTGCCTATGTATCCCATTTCATTTAAATTCTTCCATAAATAAAAAAAGTTGGCACTGCGCATGCGCAAAACCAAATTTTGAAACTGGCGTTTGGTTTTCCTTTATCCCAAGTGCCTATGTATCAAATTTCGTTTAAATTCTTCCATAAATAAAAAAGTTGGCACTGCGCATGCGCAAAACCAAATTTTTAAATTGGCGTTTGTTTTTCCTTTATTAACTTTTTTTGTAAGCGGTACAGAAAAAATTCCTTCCTTGGTACAAGACTCGACACCATAACGAACCAAATAGCGAAAAAAGTAGAACAATAGCTCTTAAGATAAAGAACTAGTAGCGTCGCAAAACGAGCGGACGGACGGACGAACGGACAAAGTGGCCACAATAGCGCATTTTTTTTTTATTTTTGTGGAAATGCGCTAAAAAGGACACTCGGCTTGATACTCTCATATATTTAAAAAAAATATTTGTATAGGTACCCCAAGACCTAAATCGATAGGTATGTTTTGTGTTCTATACGTTAAAGACTACTATAAAGTATAACAACAACTCTTTTATTCTTTATTTGGAGAAGAGCTAGCCAAACTTATACAAATAAGTAGAATAGATGACTGAAGTTACTTCATCTTGAAATGAATAAATAATTTGAAGAATAACTATTAACTATTAAAATATGCATTACTTCGATTAATGTTGTAATTGAATTTCTGCGTACTTCATTGGTTTTGGGGAAGAATTGGAATCGGATCGTTTATATTTTAGTCTTTTCATAATATTAAAAGAAATTTAGTATTAATCACCACGACAACATTTATCCATTTTATAAAGCTATCCAGGCAAGTTCTGTATCTTCTTTTCAGTAAATTTTTCTTCTTCATTTAACTTTCCGCGGCGCCGTGCCACTTACACGAAACCAAACCAATATTAGAGGATTTTGTTTCTCAAACAGATTAATTAGAGGGCTCTTAGTCAGGCCCGGCATTATAATTAAACTTCGCCTGCAGCCTGCATTGGTGTTGAGGGCATTTCAATTTTTCATTTTTATAGACGAAGTGTATAACAACAACTTTCCCAGAACAATTCCAAACGTTTTTAGCGCATTTCCACAAAAATAAAAATAAAATGTGCTATTGTGGCCACTTTGTCCGTCCGTCTGTCCGTCCGTTTGTCCGTCCGTCGGGCCACCCGTCCGTCTGTGCGTCCGTCCCTCCGTCTGGACGCTACAATTTCTTTATCTTAAGAGCTATAATTGTTCTACTTTTTTCGCTATTTAGTTCGTTATGGTGTCGAGACTTGCACCATGGAAGGAATTTTTTCTGCGTTTATTGCTAAAAAGGTTATTGTAAAAAAAAAACAAAAAACATGTTTTACACGTTCCATAATTTTACACTTTCGCCGTTTATTAACGATCCTAGAGATCGTTTATAATATTGTATTGCTGTCTGTCATCTGTCTGTTGGTCTGTCCGTCTGTTCTTTTGTCTGTCTGTCCATCTATTTGTCCGTGTGAACGATAAGTTTGTTTAGAAATGTCCGACCGCTTTGAAATTTGATACAAATGTTCTTAGTTAAAAGTAAAATTGGTCCTTATTTAAAAAATTTGTTTTGCGCATGCGCCATCCAATTTTTTAGTTGGTAAGATATCTAAATTAATGAAATTTTGTATGTAAGCACCTCGAGTAAATGTAAAACTAATGCCGAAACAGAATTAATGTATTTTTTCGCGAAGGATTCAGCGGGCCTTTGATATGTATTTGAAGTTAGCGTACGTTATTGCGCTTACCTGATGATAGAAAGAGATTGGGGTAGAAAGATGAACACTAGTGTCAAAGGCTTCGTTGATCCTTTGCGAAAAAATACATTGCCGTTTCCCTATGGAGCGTTTTATCTGGGACACACAGCACACTGTATTAATGTAAACAAAAACGACCAATTTCCATTTTTCTTCACATGTACCTGGATATAAAATATGGGTTTGATTCATAGAAAGAAATACAAAAAAATGCAATACCTATTTCGTGATCACATGTCCATGCTAAATTTGACTCTTATCTAAAATTCATCTTTACCACAAAATGAATTATTGGTACATTCTCCTGTTTAAATATATACACGCCGTTGAATATGAACAACATTTTTAATCCAACCAAAGGACTAGTCTTACTCAAATTAGTACCAAAATTCCAATCAATGAACCAAAATACCCAAATCCTTTGTTTGGATTCGATTCTTATCAATAAGTACCTACAAAAAGTAATCGGTTCAGGCAAATGGTTCTCATAGGTGGAGTCCTTTAGGAATATTAACATTGCTTCAAACAAAATTATTTAGCAAATGTATAAGAATAATCGACCACTACTTTACCGGCTCTAAATATCTTTCAATTCTCTTCCGTATTCCGTTGTATGCAAAATTGTATTTATCGCACAATACGCTGTCTAATGATGTCACTCAAATTTAAAGAACTTGTTTTTAACCAACCGTTACTGTTAGCAATTCGAAAACGAATCTTCTCTGTTTATCACAATAAGTTTTAATGATATGAGTTTATTTCCTTGCGGTTTGATTTTAGTAGTGCCCCTACTCCAAAATGTTCCTGGTGGCTCTTGAATTCTTTGACCGCAAATCGTGGCAAATACTAGAAATAGCATTTCTCTTACATAAAATGGCACGCACATGCGTTTATGACTTCGTTAAGAATTTAATTTCAGCGCATTTACAATACAGAAAGGTACAATATAGAAATACCGAAACGGGACTTCCTACGCGACGAACTCTCTCCTTCGTCCCTACGAATAGCAAACCTGAATTTTTGTCACGTGCTCGGCTTTAAACAGAACGGAACGAAACATTTAGGTCCCTAGAAATCGTGGCAACCGCGCTCGCTTTCCGCAATACCCTTTTTAGCGCATTTCCACAAAAATAAAAAAAATGCCCTATTGTGGCCACTTTGTCCGTCCGTCCGTCCGGCTGTCCGGCTGTCCGTCCGCTCGTTTTGCGACGCTACTAGTTCTTTATCTTAAGAGCTATTGTTGTACTTTTTTCGCAATTTGGTTCGTTATGGTGTCCAGGCTTGCACCAAGAAGGAATTTTTTCTGCGTTTATTGCTAAAAAAGTTATTGTAAAAAAACCAACAAACCGTTTTTTACATGTTCCATAATTTTACACTTTTGCCGTTTATTAACCATCCTAGAGATCATTTATAATTTTGTATTGTTGTCTGTCGTCTGTCCGTCTGTTCCTTTGCCTGTCTGTCCCTCTATATGTCCGTGTGAACGATAATTTTGTTTAGAAATGTCCGATCGCTCTTACATCTCCGTTAGTTATGAACTGAATTGCATGAAATTCAATATGGGCATAGCCTTAGCCATATAATACGCAATGCCAAAAGTTGAGTCGAATCGATTCAAAATTCACAGTGCCCCTTTCGCATCTCGACCATTTATAAACCGAATTGCAAACTTTTTTTCTTATAAAAGTATTTGAATGAAATTTGATACATAGGCACTTGGAATAAAGGAAAATCTAACGCCAGTTTCAAAATTTGGTTTTGCGCATGCGCAGTGCCAACTTTTTTATTTATGGAAGAATTTTAAACGAAATTTGATACATAGGCACTTGGAATAAAGGAAAATCTAGCGCCAGTTTTAAAATTTTATTTTGCGCATGCGCAGTTAACTTTCTTATTTAGAAAAGCATTGAAATGAAATTCTTCTTATAAACTGAAATTGAAATAGCATGTCAAAAATGGATTGCTCATGTGCAATGCTATCTTTCATATTTGTGGCCGGATTTTTACGATTTTAACAGAAGTTGGATCTTACAAATGGGAAATGAATGCAAGTGGAAATGCGCTTTGTGCACGGCGGTATAGACACCGTGGCTTTATGTAAATCGTTTACGATTACTTTTTAAATTGTTGTTATCGCGCTGGCTATCTCCAGATATACTTTTATTCTTGTTCGCTATGAACGCATTCTTCCCATTCTGAAAATGTACCTATGTTATTTATTATTGTAATATTTCGAGGAAACCGAATCGCGTTGAACGATCATTTTAATATCCTTAACACCCTCCATCTTAAATTCACAATACAAATCAAATTTGTCAATAAATTCCTCACTTTTCTAGAGTTAAAACGCACTATATAGCTCGGACTCACCCATGGAAATGGTGGTCTATACAAAACTAGAAACTTGCACACCATCTGACCCTTCGATTCCTTTATCCTCCTTAGATTCTTTTTTCATAAGCTTTTAAACCAAGTTTCAAACCTCCCCCTGATCAATAAATACCAGATCAACCAGTTTGTACTAACGATCCCCTTCTTCATATAATACTGACATATATCGGCAACAGCTTTCCATATGTGACATTTTGGATATAAATACTATTTCAGATGATGAATTCAGAGAGGCCATACATTTCTAAATGTTGCCAGGCGTACTTGTACCTCCATGAACGTTAATTTATAATCTGTGCATGAGGTTGAATAAATTTCCCGATATATGGAAAATCACAAAAGTGTGTCCAATTCATAAAACGGGATCTAAAGTAGATATTGTTAACTATCGACCAATCGCAATCCTATCTGGTCCGGCTAATTTTTTGAAAAAATATTAGGCAGACGTATATACAGGGTGGTGCCTAGCGCAACGCAGCATAGGGATTTTAATGGTAATTTCTTTATAGTGAATTACTAGCTCCCCTAATTATTTTAGAGCAAAAGTCTAAATAAGTTTTTTTAGAGAAAAAAATACTGCATCTGTTCATACTTTTAGTTATAATTTTCCATTTTTCAAAACCGTAGAAATTGACAAAATAAAAAATCACATTTTTATAAATCAGTGATGCTTTGGAATCTTTTAACAAACTACAAGCGCATCGCATCTAAGTTATCGTTGTTTGACGTCGAACGATTTTCTTAAACTAACCGACGCAATAAAAGGCATCTTAAGGTAATGTTTTTTTAGAGAATGTATGTTGCATCTGCATAGTATGTTTATCAGAGAGAATCAGAGTACCTACATAATCGAAGAAAAAAAACTGATTTGAAGCAGATTTGTCCCTAAACTTATATTCGGATTTTCGGCTACTGCAGCCAAAACGTTGAATGTATTGTCGTTTTCCTGATGGTTTTGAAGGACATTTTGAACGTTATTGCACTTGCAGTTCTTTAACTAATTTATAAACAAATATAAATTTAATATACGTCAAAGGCAAATAATGAAACGTGATCGCTGTTTTTTTAGGTAATTCCAAGGCATATTTGATTTATTGTAAAATGAACCTTTTTATTTTGTCGATTTTTACGGTTTTGAAAAACGGAAAATTATGAGTAATAGCATGAACAGATTCAGTATTTTTTTCTCTAAAAAAAACTTATTTAGACTTTTGCTCTAAAATAATTAGGGGAGCTAGTAATTAACTATAAAGAAATTACCATTGAAATCCCTATGCTGCGTCGCGCTAGGCACCACCCGGTATAATCATGTGAAAGGTCGACAACACGATTTCCAAAAAAACAAGACCACTGAATTAAATTTAATCGAATTCACACATAATGCTTCAAAGGCAAGATGGCAAGACTCAATACGATACATTATACACTGACTTTTCTAACGCCTTTGATAGTGCTCGAAAAGTTATCTCGGTTTGGGTTTTGGAATTGTCTATTAAAATTCTTTTCGTCTTACCTTTCTTCTCGAAAGCAGTTTGTGGTTTTTGGATCGGCTACGTCTAAGGAGGTGTTCAGTGTGCCCCGGGGGGTGCCACAAAGGTCAAATTTGGGACCATTGTAATTCATAGGGTTAATTAATGACTTGACCGAAGAAATCAAGTATGCAAATATTTTGCTGTTTGCAGATGATTTGAAACTGAGCTACCAAATAAAAGACTACTCGGATTGTTAAAAACTACAAACTTATCTCGATTCCGTAGTAGCATTGAATAATAAATCTGATTATTATTCAATGGTAGTAGCCAGTAGGTACAATGGAATTACTTACCCCTGAACATAGATAAATGTAAATGCCTACGTTTGTTTTTCTCGTAAGGCAGATGATATTATATTTCTGTCTAACATTCAGGGAAGAGTATTAGAGGGTGTTAGCAATCACAAAGATCTGGGAGTGCTTTTTGATGGCCAATTGAAATTAAACCAACAAGCGTTTGGTCTTCTATATTATGCATTTAGTGCGATCTAAGTTGGAATATGCAGTTATCATTTGGTAACCGTATACGAAAAAGCATATAAAGGCCATCGAAATGATTCAAACAAATTCTTACGCTGTCTTCACTTTAGACTTACGAGGGTGTACCCCCACTATGAACATTACGAATATTTAATCACCATGTAAAATTTTACGAGGCTAAGTGATCGAAGACGTAATATATCATTAATATTTTTGTTCAAACGACTTAATAATCAGATAAATTCTTCCTATTCGCTGTCTTTGATCAATATCATAGAACGAAAAGGAAATTCACATTGTTTGAAATCCCTAATGTACGTTCAAAAACGCACGACAATTCCCCAATTAACCGTAGGATGACGTACAGTGATTTGCACAAAGTTCAAATGAACAACTTGCACTTGTTTGGCCTGTCTTTATCGCAGTTTAAGAAAAATTTGTTTTTATGTTTATAGAAATATTATTTACTAGCTTCACTTGTTTTTATCAGATAGTTACTTGTATACATATTTTTTAATCACAATCATTGTCCTCAAAACTTTATATAGAATGTTATTTCTGTTGTTTTGAGCAAACACATAATTTAGTATATTATGAAACTAGTTTATAATGCAAGGGATTATGGCATGAGTGAATGTTTAACGCATGAGCGAAGCGAATGCGGTAATATCACGAATGTCATAATCCCTTGCATTATAAACAAATTTCATACGCTATTTTATCGCCGACTAGAACTTTTCAAAAATAAAAATTCTGATCGATAAACTTAAATCGGAAATACCTAAATCTAAAATTACATCAAAGCGGTTTTAAACATTACCATGGTTTTTGATAGCTCACTTTTGTTAATAAATAAATAAAGCGGCGCCATTTGCACAAAACACGCACAAAACATGAATTTTGCGGAAGATTTGAGTTTGTGTGATGCAATTTTAAAGAAAGCGGAAGAAGCGGAATCCAGTTTGTGTCCAAAGAAATCAGAAGACTTTTACAAAAAGGAATTTGAAAAATTTTGTCACTGGATGCGGAACAATAATGCCGAAATTGTGACAGAGAAGGTTTTGCTGGCGTATTTTCTGGATCAGGTAGATCAATTAGACTGTAAATAATTATATACCTAATTGTAATTATTGTTTCTTCCGTTTTAGTCAAAAAATTACAAGTCCTCGTCATTGTGGTGCATGTACTCCAAGCTGAAATGTATGTTACGAATAAAAAATGACATTGACATTAGCCAGTTTTCTAAACTTTCTGCTTTTTTAAAAAAGTGTTCAGTTGGGTATTCAGCAGAAAAATCTTTGGTGTTCTCAAAGAATCAGTTAATAAATTTTTTGACCTCGGCTTGTGACGAACAATATCTCCTTATGAAGGTGGGTGGGTTTCTCTTATTGCTACAAAAGGTTACTATAAAAGTATGATTTTAGGTTGTTGCAATATTTGGATTATTTGGTGCTTGCAGAAGGATAGAGTTTTACAATTTATGTGTAAGCGATGTCCAAGAAGAGGGTGCAGTTTTTGTGGTGAATCTCAAAGATACGAAAACACATCGACCCAGAACATTCACAATTTTAAATGATGATAGCATGAATTACACTGAGCTCATTAAAAAGTACATAAATTTAAGACCAAAGCATGTTAAAATAGAGAAGTTCTTTCTATTCTATGGTGCGGGAAAGTGTACGTGTAATCCCATTGGCATCAATACCTTTGGTCAAATTCCTCGTAAAATTGCCAAATATCTGAACCTTCCTAATGCAGATCAGTTCACTGGTCATTCATTTCGCAGAACGTCTGCTACAATCCTTGCAGATAGTGGCGCAGACATTCGAACATTGAAAAGACATGGTGACTGGAAAAGCGATGCTGTTGCGGAAGGGTAGGTATGTGGCGGATTCACGAGAAAACAAGAACAAAATTGCTAGAACCTTAGGATCTGTTAACACTGTTAGCTGCCAGAGAATCAGGGATTTGGCATCTTCATCAACTATCTCAGTATCTGGAATTACTAGTGCATCATCGACTACAAATGAATGTGTTCTTCAATCTAGTTCAGGCATTTCAATTTCCGGAAATTCAAATTGTACTATTACTATTAACATTAATAAATAATATATCAACAATCAGCCTAAATTTGTTGTCAAGGCGACTTTATGGCACAACTTTATGGCACGTGCCATAAAGTGACGGATTATTAATGATTTTGACATTCATAATCATAGCATTCTAATGCTAGTCGGCGATAAATAAATAAACTTGCTAATCTACACATTTCTGCACATCACCATTTTCCAATTTCCTGCGTTAACTTAACATAACCGTTTCCCTTTCCACCCTCCTAACCACAGCTCGCTCGTCGTCCACACTAAACATCCTGTTGATCATTTGGATTGTTCAGACTCCCTCTTTAAATAATAATATTACATTTTAAAACTCAGGTGTCAAATTTAGCCTAGCTCAAAATTTTTGTGCATCGTTATCTACGTGTCGTTTGGGATTGGATTTAAACAGAAAAAAATTTCAAAAGCGGAAAGAATGTACTCAGAAACCGTCAGGGTGTTCTGGTTGAAAAGAAGAAAATGTAAGAGACACGCGAAGGTCATTGTGCTGATAATAATCTGTATTTCTGTCCGTCCATCTCCGTCAAGGCAACACTTGACGAATTAATATTTTCTGTTTTCCATATGTTTGATAGCAGAATCAGAAGGACTTGGAAATTTTAATTTTTTTATTGCTGTGTTGGCCACGTGGCTTATAATAAAAAACTCATCAAGGTGTATAATAATCATATGATTCTAGTAGTAGTAAAAAAATTAACCCATATTGAAAAAAATTCAGATCAAAAAGCATAGCATAGTCGCTAACTATGGTCTAGAAAATCTTCCAATAAAGACAATTCCGGTAGTGCGGTGTCTCAAATAGTATATGAATGGATGGTCCGCAGTGAACGTCACAAGAGGCATGCTAATAGAGCCAAAACCTAAAAAAGAAATGATTAAACGTAAATTGAGGATGTCATTCTCGTGATAGTGATTTAAAAACACGTATATTTTACGGAGAAACAAGAACTTACTTATTTTGGTGGCAGCTGCAGCCGTTGTTCCTTTTTCATTAATTTCTATGAATGTCTTTTGAACAACTTCATCAATGTAGATGGGAGCTTCAGTGATTCCTTTAAAGTTTGCCTTTGTATTAAAAGGATCCGTCACACCTAACTTCAAAAGGAATTTGACAAAAAACTGACGCCAGTGATTGACTACTTACAACTTTTAAAATCTTTTTGAGATCTATTGTCGATGCCATTGTGAACTTTGGTATTGAAATAAATGCGTCTAGTTTTTGGAAAGATTGGGGTAAGATAACATCGGAAATATGATTTTCTAGTTCATTTAATCCATGATTGCTCTTTGGCAAAGCAATAGTCATAGTTACATCGTCTCCAACGAACGGTAACTCTAAAAATTCAGCACGGAGTTTTTCATTATAGCAATAATTAAAATTATTTCTTTGAAACATAAAGTTGGTTGATACGATTTCGGTTTCACTGACGTAGAATTCGTGCTTATAGTCGCCATTGCCATCAAATTCGTGAATCCAATTTCCATGAAAGTACAAAGCGTTTACTAAGATCGCATATGTGCTTGGGCTTAAGCTAATTTTCTCTATGATATCTTTGATTTTGTTGTTTGTTTTATTTTCAACCCACTGATTAATTATTTTGGTGGCCTGTTCACGATCATCAAAATTGACGTTTTCTATACCGGCTTTAAAAGTATTAATAGCGATATCCCTGTAGTCATTCTTGATAGCGCTTTTGTCACCGAGGTAAATCTTGTTTGCGCTGCTGAATTGGTACGGCTGTGAAACGTTGAATTTGTCGTTCACCTTTCCAAAAATACCTTGAATTTTCATGGGATCATTCGGTAAATGCAAGCAACTACTTAATTGCTCAGCGGAACTGTCTCTGGACCCAACAGTTGCAAGTGATAAAATAATTTGTGCCGATAACGGGCATACCAAAAAGTTATCCGCTTGTTTAGCAGATATTTCCTGTTAAATTAATTTATAGGTATTTTCGTATCCATTGTCAGCGAATGCTAATTGTCTCACCTTGTACAAATCAGCAGCGAACTCTACGTTACTATTTTGAAATTCTAGTATTTCATCAGATTTAATGACGGTAAGTATCACGCACAGTAACAGAAACTTCATCTTATTGCTTTGAGGGTATAATTAAACTATTAGCGAAGTTTATATCTTAATCTATTTATACTACCGTGAAGGTTAAAAATGAAAGCAACAAAGCTCATCTATATATGCACTGTACAATTGATAATGAAATAGAAGTGATATATAGGGTAAGCGAGTTAAAAAAAGAGCAATTGATGTAATCTTCAAGTAGGCAAATTTTGTAATTATCAGTGTATCAACGGCAGTTTTTGAAATTTCTATCAAACATCACATACCAGAATAATTTTTTGAAATGTAATGGGTTGACTTCTTTGATCATTGGTTACTCAACCAGGCGTATACAAATAATATTGAAATGTCTTACTTGTAATTGCTTATGTAACTATGGCAAAAAAGGGCTTAAAACTTACCATTCTTATGGTCTTTATTTGATTCCAAGCCCATTCAAATCCGTGCGAGGTACAACTGTTCCATTTAGGTCAAGAAATGAAAAACGTTTTTCTTACCTAACAAGGCAATCTAAACATTACAAATGCAAATAGAAGATAAACGAGTGCGAAACCAGTATTTTTTCTAAATAAACTAGCAGCAAAAATGTTTTACTCTCAAAAGTCTCAAAACTTCTTTAGTTACACATAAAAGTTTTGAGAGACTGCTTTACCTAGGTTATAGGTACGCTCTGTTCCGGTTCTAAATACAAAATTCTAAAATTATTACCACAAGATGGTGCGCTCCGACACGTGGTTGAAATTAGTATATTAAGAGACAGGTGTATAATCAAACAAAGATTTTAAACGTTGCAAGTGCTTTAAAGACCAATTATATACGTGTTTCTTAGTCTTTTTTATTATAACTGCAATATAACTTAAAAATAAGGAAAATAAAATATAATCATATTGACTATTATACTCGAATGCATAGCGAATTAAGTAGGCTGTTTATTGGTAATTCCATGGTTGCCATGGAAATGTCACTTGACGTTCGCTTATAAAATCGCCGTCTCTGTAAATAAAATAAAATGACTTCAGTTGAAAAAGACAATACACTGTCCATTCAATGGGTTGTTGCAAAAGCAGAAAAAAAGTTGGTAAGTGCAAAATCCAAATCCAGTAAATCCTAATATAAAGAATATAAAATTTTTTTTCGTGGATGAATAATAAGCATCTTACGAAGAAAGTCTTAAATGCATTGAGAATGCTGGCATATAAGACGGCAATGTCAATGGTATATTCTATCCTTTGGTGCATTCATTCAAAACTTCAAACAATGCTGCGATTACAAAAAGGTATAGTTTTGGCACCACACCTTAAATTACACGCGTTTGTGAAAGCTTCAAACAAAGGATAGGTACTAGCCAAAGAAATCTTTTGCATTTACAGAAAGCGCCCTAAGAAGGATTTTTTTATTTCAGCTCCAGATGACCGTTTTATAAGTCACATTTGAAATAACATTACTTAGCGACATTTAAAGCACTTATGTTTTAAAGGGCGCGATTTCGCACGCATTTGAGTTTTCAAAACGAAGATTGTGATCCAGGTACTGACGTAATTTTGCATCCACTATCAGAATAAAATGTTAGGCCTATTACAATTTACAAATGAACGTACACCTGATGCACAGGGCGTAATTTGAATAGGGACGCAACAATTTTAGATACAAAGCAACTGAAATTACAGACAACTTCTAAGAAACCTGCATTTTCTTTATAAAGCAGTGTGGCGAAAATCTTGGACATGCAATAGTCGCTAATCCTTCAGACAACGTAATAAACAAACGTTATTCTTTTAAAAATATTTAGGTGCGTCACAAAACCCTTTTACTTATTATATTTGTTATTACCATTGCTTATAAGTAACGGAAGTGTGAGGTACTCAGACTGAATAACTCGTAAGGAAATAGTTTTTGAAAAAAACGCAAAAGCAGGTTGATTTTGGTTGGAATGTAGACATCTTTTACTTAAAAATTTACACCCCTAGAGTCCACCCTCTAAGCAAGGCTTCTTCAATAACTTTAAATTGAACGTTGGGTCCAGTGGCCCATCATTCGAAAGGGCTCTCAATTGTTTACACGTCTATTGTTTAGTTGACAAATTTGAGCGAGTACTTTGAAGGATACAGGGTGTGAAATGACAAATCACATGAATATTCACGCTTTTACGTGAATGGACACCTTTATAAGAAATATTAGCTACACAAACATAAACAATCTTGAAGAACATAAACCATGAGAAATCAACATAATAAAACGTCCTAATATCCCAAAAATTTAGACACATAAAACCTGATAAAGCGACCCCTATTATGAGCAACTGATGAATTATCTGATATATCAGATTCTGATGTTTGGTCTTGGTTTTTAGCTCGGTTTTTAGGTATACTGATGGTAAAATACTGATCCGATTGTATTTCATTGAACCAGGCGTACTTATATTACATAATTTTCTGTATTTACATTAGATCTACAGATAACTGTATTTTTCAAAAGACCCTCGAATTTGAAAACTAAACTATAAGCATGTGAGAAATGAAGAGCTCTTCCAATGATTTTTCATTCAACCCAACCTTCAATTTCCAATTATTGAAGGAGTGGCAACCATGTGGGTTTAAAGCCAGGGAGCAGGAGTGCACATTTGTAGTAAAAGATGTCCCCCTCCGACCCAAATCGATGTTTTTGTTTTTTTCCCCTAACCTATTTCCTTACGAGTTATTCAGTCTGTTTCGTTTTCGTTCTGCCACTCTGTATGTCCTCGATTAAACACAGTAGCAAGTTTATGAGACGGTAAACCACATATCCAACTATCAAATATTTTTTTGCATATTTATCAAATTGTCCGACGATTTATCAAAAAATCATATGGAAATTGGTATTTTCTTCAGGATCTGTACTATGCGTTCCCATGGCGTTTAGTCCTGTCTATGAACAATAGCTCAGTTTTTGAGTGACAGTAAACTGCGAATGTCAATGATATTATTCAATTATAGGTCATTAAGGATCACTATGCAAAACACTTTTTTTTATTACTTAAGACGTTATGTAGAAATTACTAATCTTAACCACACAGTGGCTGCGCGATTGGTACCGAAAGGACTCTATCAAAAAATCTTTCTTTTGGATTACAACTACGTGCTCTGGCAACCAGACCCGCATTGATCTTTTGCAATCTCGTAGCCCAAAAACGAATGCCTGCAAATGTCCTGGAATGACCCCTACCTCTACTTACTTAATTAATTAACGCCTACAAAATGGGTTCTTATTAATGAAAACATGGCCATCTTTTATCGTTAATCGCTAGGGTAATAAATCAATCCCGCGTACATTGCTATTAGAAAAAGAATGCGCTATAGAAATCAAAAGACGCATAAAAACGATTGTTAATTCCACCAGATTTTTTATTACAAATCCATCAGCCATACAATTTATTGGAAAATTCAACCCTCTAAATTTTTACACCCTAGAGACTGAGTAGTGCCTAAATTTCTCTAACCCTTAAATCTAAAAAATCTCTGTACCTATCAATGTGAATTATGTTTAACTGTCATTTACATCATTACCTCTACTGTACTCACCATCATGCACAACGTTCATAATGTTATCTTTCTTACCACATCATATTGCATAAACTAGTGTACCCACGTATTGTACTTACCAAGCCGGAGCACCAATAATATAAGTAATTGAGGGGCTCCTAAATATATAAATAAATTTAAAAAAATCTCTACTTTACCTTTGCCTATAAAATTCGAAAAAGCAAATCCAAATTTAAGAGCTACCGTTACAACTTCTGTTTTCCATTTGAGATTCTTTAACACGTTAACCACCGATGACTTATCAACTAGTTCAAGTGGTTTTCATTTGTACTCCAAAACCAGTATACAAGTCTTAACTAATATTTAATTTTGCATTCTTTCTGGGATGTACTTATATATGTTAATCCTATAGCATGATAGTCAGTACCCAACACTTGCAATATACAAACAATTAAATAGGGCCAGTGAATAAGTCATTGGTGGACCAGAATCCTATATATTGATAGACATTGGATACGTATTATCTTTACAAGAGAGTAAAGAGTAACGAATGTCGTCTATATTGGCCTTCCGGGAAAATATTTTTTTAGACATTATTCACTTTCCACCCCTTTCAACTCCCGGAATTTCTCTCGCAGTAAAATTTAGCTGGCTTATTTTCCCCAATGTCTAATCCTTTCTCCTGTTGAAAAACCCAGTTTAGATAGGGAACTAATTTTTTTTCACTACTAGCCTAAAATATCATGATTGCTAACCTTTTTTTCACTTGTAAAATAGGCCTTTCACAACCGTTGTTTCAAAGTGGTTAATAATAAAGGTCGTTATTAACTACCTACTACCGTACTAGTTAATAATGATTAATGAGAATGTCACCCTGTTACTTTTAGAGATCACAACCACGAAATTTCGCTCAACAAACGTTTAGACAGGTTCTCTCAGATGAATAACTACTTTCTTCATTTCCAGAGAAATCTCATACTTAAAATTGTCACATTTTGAAAAGATTCAAATGAAATTATTCTTTGAAAATATGTCAAGACAGAACAGAACCCTGTATATTAACAACGTCAAGAAAATGGTGATATTGTTGATTTTTAGCTTCCTAGCATGTGCTAGGTAGCTATTGCGATAGCCGTTTTTTGAGCATTTCAAAATTTCATCAAATGTCGACGTTTTAGACCATTTTAAGCAACTTTTAAAGAATAAAATTTTTTTCCGTCTGTATGTACGTACGTATGTACGTACGTACGTTTGTTGGCAATTTTCTGAGAAAACGGCTCGACGGATTTTGTTGAAATTTTGTATATATGTTTTAGGCATACCGAACAGAAAAAAAAACGGGCCGGATTTTTGAAAAAAAATTTTGGAGCGCCGTAACGGCATCGAACTTTTTTTTTCAAATAGCAACCTAAAATTTTTATTCTATTATTTGGAAGACCTTATTTTCCTGTATACAACCTACAAAAAATTGGGCCGGGTTATATTATCAAAAAACGGAGAAAAAAATTGTCAAAGTCAAAAAATTGTGTTGCATATGTGCAAAACGCAACGATCTTGTTTCTGAAGCAATTTAAACGAAATTTCTATGGTAAGTCCCTTTAATAAAAGCAAACAAAATTCATGCGCAAAAATCGTGTTGCGCATGCGCAGAAATGCAATTTTTCTTATTTATGGAACAATTTTAACGAAATTTAGATGGTAGGTCCTTTTAATAAAAGCTAACAAAATGCATGCGCAAAAAATAGTGTTGCGCATGTGCAACATCCAACTTTCTTATTTATGGAGCAATTTTAACGAAATTTGGATGGTAGGTCCCTCTAATAAAAGCAAACAAAATGCATGCGTAAAAATTGACGTTTTAGATCATTTTAAGCAACTTTTAAAGAATAAATTTTTCCCGTCTGTAAGTGCGTACATATGTTGGCAATTTTTGGTTTCAGCTAGGAAGCTATTCTGTCAAGAATTTGACACCTGGTTTACTTTGTTGTTTCAAGACGAATTTCTTTATATTTTTCTATTTTCAGTCTACAATGATCGTTATAGCAGAAAGTGAAAGTAAACTATCGTGTTACGTGTCTAAAATAACTAAGGTATTTACAAAATTCACACAATTATTGACACGGGAAATAATAACTAACTACGTAGTCAACTAGGGTCTTGATAACCTGCCAATAAAGAACACTCCAACACTGCGATGTCTCAGGAAGTAAATGAATGAATGGTCCGCAGTGAAGACCACATCAGGCGTGCTGTAAGGTATAATCGCTGGAAAAAAAGTAAATCTGTATTTGATCTAAATTTAAGAAATACTTACACATTTGAGTAGCAGCAGCGGCCGTTGCACCTTTTTCATTAATTTCTATAAACGTCTTTTGGATAACATCGTCAATATAAATACCATTCTCAGTGATTCCATTAAAATTTGCATATTCGGTAAATGGTTCCGTTACACCTAACTTTAGTATAGAAATCTTAATTACAAGTTTGCGACGGATGATTTCGTCCTTACCTCTTTCAAAACTTGTTTAAAATCTATTGTCGATTCCATTTTAAATTTTGGTATAGTAATGAGTGCGTCCGATTTTGCTAAACGTTGAGGAGAAATTACACTAGAAATATGATTTTCTAGTTTTTTGAGCCCATGCGTATCCTTCGGCAAAACAATGGTCATAGTTATATCATCTCCAACGAACGGTAGTTCTAAAAATTCTGCGTGGAGTTTCTCATTATAGCAATAATTAAAATAGTTTCTTTGCGTCATATAGTTGACTGATACGGTTTCGTTTTCACTGACATAAAAATCTTGCTTGTAATCTCCACTATAACCAAATTCATTGACCCAATCTCCATGAAAGTATAAGGCGTTTACTAAGATGGCAAACGTGTTCGATTGTATTGTATTCTTCTGTATCAGATCTTTGATTTTACTGTTAGTCTTACTCTCAACCCATTGGTTAATTATTTTGGTGGCCTTTTCAGTTTCCGAAAAATTGATGTTTTCTATTCCGGCTTTAAACGTGTTAATGGCGATGTCTCTGTAATGACTTTTGATTTCGCATTTGTTGTTAAGATATATTTTATTTGCGCTGCTGAATTGGTATGGCTTTGTAACGTCAAAGTTGTTGTTCAGCTTTTGAAAAATACTTTGAATTTTTACTGAATCGTTCGGTAAATACAAGCAGTTACTTAACTGCTTGGCAGAATTTTCTCTGGCTCCTACAGTTGCAAGTGATAGAACAATTTGTGCTGATAGCGGACATATCAAAAAGTTTTCGGTGTTTCTTTTAGAGATTTGCTGTGGAGTAAATGATTTAGTTGTGCACAGTTGACAGTGGTGATTCTTACGTACCTTGTATATATCAGTAGCAAATTGTAGGTTACTGTCCTGAAATTCCTGTATTTCCTCCGAATTTATGACTGTAAATATGACACATAACAACAGAAACTTCATCCTAATATTTTGTCGTATTACAAGTTGACACACTAAATTTTAATATTCAATCTATTTATACCAGCGCAGAGGTTATGGGTCAAATCAACAATAAATACCTGATAAGTAGTCAGAGTGGGCGACAAAGTAGAGTGGGATGTCTAATTTAGTTTTCAAAGACATGACGTCAAACCCGATAAGAGAAACTTACTAATTAGGATTTTCCACATTACTGTTTGTAAAGTACTGGATTATTTGTCTTCGTAGTCAAAAATTTAAACGGAATTTCGATAACTATTTGGACTGTAGTGTATTCATCGAGATTAATTAATTTTTTTACGGATTTCTGAGACAACTAGAAACAAATAGATTATTTGAACATAGTTGAAGGTTATTAATATTTTGATTTTAATCTCTTCACTGGGATGATAGGGAGACCTTCAAGTTCCAACAATGAAAGACAGCAATAGCGAAACCATGCGCAGTACAAAGTATCTGTTTTTGCGCTTTTTTTGTAATATCTTCACTTGGTTGTTATGTACATAAATTTCAAAGAGTTTAGTTTTCA